TAGACCAATGGGGGCAGAGGAACACTGAGCACATACTTTTGTGAGGCCACGGATTCGACCTTTTCCGAGAGAGAAAAACCTGTTTTTTTCTTCATTCAACCAATGACCCACTAAGGTGACCATGATAAAATGTTATTATCGCAGCACACCTGGATGCATGCAAAGCCGCGCAAGGTTTGGATTAACACAAAATCACAACAGCCTGTAATCTCCGCCTGGTAAGCATTCCCAGATTTCCGATCGTTGAGTAAACTGCATTTTGCTTATTTTGTCGGGTCGTTTTAGAGAACGACTACACCTCTCATCACATTGGTAATGCGTTGCCACGTTATGCCGTGTGATTTGGGCTGCTTCATTAGGTGAACCGCTTGACTCCAAGATTCAAGGAACCTGATGTGAATTTCGTGGTAGCGTTGCTTATCGCTCCATTCCTATTGGTTACCGAATGCATGATCAGGACCGCAGTGTCTGATTAAAAACTGGGGGGGCCGTTTGGTTGGCTAATGTGAGTCATGAGTGAGTCATCCAGGGCCGAATCAATTTTGAGCGAGACAATTAAGAAACAAAATGTGAGCAGTCTGAAAGGTTATCCACTGAAATGTCCGCACAGTGTTTCGCACGAAACAAATTCGGATCTGTTCCAGATAAGCCCCGCCGAAAAATTAACCCCCGCCACCCAGAATAGATTAGAAAAAAGAGGATATGAAATTTGTACTTTTAGTTTTTACTGAAGAGAGTGAAATTGGGACATGTCATTATTAATTTGCATGAAAAGGTCCGTTTTTCGGTACCTTTGACTCCAAACGAACCCACGCAAGTAGCTGCCCACTAAAGATCGGTGTGTGCCGCATTGGCGTTTATTCTGCATCTTGTAGAAGTCCCAAAGAGATTCGATGGCACCAGTCGTTGGATCCACAAAGTTTTCGGTATGATTAACGGTTGGAGTCTGAAAAAGTTGCCAGGCGCAAACTTCGCGAGGGAAGTTCTTCCAGTCAACAGCGGTCGTGTGGCTAATAGATAATTCCTCTGAGCGGAATTTGATTTTTGCCAAATTTTCTGACCAGCAATGAATAGAATTACTATCCTAAACTCCATCCTAGACCGCTCCAACCAAGTTCCCTTTTGAAGACCGATTTCTTGTTGACACCTCCACCTGTCAGAAAAGTAGATAGTGTCGTTTCAGAGGGGTTTGGTAAACCAACGGTGGATTTATTGCTGGGCAACGTTTCGCTTTTGATACAAAAGCTTCGCCAAGCCAAGTGTGTCAAAAGCGAAACGTTGCCCAGCAATAAATCCACCGATTGTTTACCAAACCCCTCTGAAACGATGACTTCCCAATCGATCCCAAACATTTTCCAATTGAGTAGAAAGTGTCATTTGGTGGCCATTGTTGCATAAACGTTACTGATGGATCACTCCGTGGCTTTGCAAAATACGTATTGTCGTTTCCTTGTCATGAATAAGAGTTGAAAGCGTCAGAAATCTCACTTGAGGTTTTACGTCCGAACGGGGAATTTTTTGCACAAGGTGAGCCTAGGTGCGGATAAGGAATAGTCTTCATCAAAATTAGGTCAAAGTTGTGTGTGCACGTTAAATTGGAGCTGGCAAAAGTGACGGGCCTTAACTTTTCGCACATTTGTGGCGGGGCTTATCTGGAAAAGATCCACGAATTCAATTCAACAATGGCCTGTTTCATGTGTCCTAAACCAAGAATTCACGGGCTAAAATGAGATGAACTGCTCGGAGAAAAATTGCGCAAAGTTCTGCTAAGCACGGAGCGTTTTACCGGTGCTGTTGACAAGCTAGGATTCAAAGAGGATAACCTGTGGCATCATTTTGAGTTTGAGTCGAAAGTGACGTCACTTAGGGGGAGGCGTGTTTTTGGTTTTAATGTGATGCCTTCTGATCAACTCAACATATCTAATGTTCAAATGTTGGGTCACATTACAGTGGTCCGAACAATGGTATCTCTGTGCCCTTTAGCAAACGAGAGTAGATGGTTGTCCCTTCTACACAAGGTCTGCTCAGGAAACCTTCGTTCAGTCAAAGGTGACAATGAATCACGTTTCCACAGGGGGTGAGGTCCTTACTCGACCAACTAGAAAACTCGTTGTCAATACCCTGTTTACGGAAAAATCGAAGGAAATTGTTCAAGAGACGGTCTTCTGATGAAGACGAGAGGGCTACATACAGTGAGTATGTTGTTACAAACAGAGAGGTCTAGACAGCTACTGAGTTAAGTAACCAGTGAACTTGGCTTTCTAGATTTAACCAACCAGTTGGTAGCATATTCTATTCAAACCGAATATTCGAAATTCTGAGCGTGCGGGGTGAAACGTCCGACACTTGTCCAAACTGTCTCCGGCAGTTTGGCAACAAAATCAGGGGAGGGGTTGTGTCAACTATCATCATGTGCACCCCCACAGTTGCGACCTGTCATGCCGTTCAAAACAAAGCTGTATTGACTGGATTGGTAAAATGTCATTAGAACAGAACTGAACATACAAAAATGACAGAGTCCGCTATCGACTTAGTTGACAATTTGATACGAGAATTCTGTTTATGTTATAACTGTATGAAATATGAAAATATGAAAAGACTCTGCAAACAGTGCTTTGGACAACGGCTGGATGAATTCTATCCGAAATTCTTCGGCATCCAGAGTACTCGGGTTCGGGTACTCATACTGCTGGTCTGTAAGAAGTGCAGTCCAAGGCAGATTTGGGAAAGAAAACGCGTGGATTCCTTGACATTTATACATCCGATTGACTTCGATGTAAGTCGAGAATTAAGAAGGGGTGTTGGTAAAAGAGAACAGCTACAGCAAGTACCAACTCGTAAGGTGAAATTCATTGGACTGCTAGAACAACAGCGTTCAACAATAGGTTGTTGTTCAGGTGGCTGTTGTTTTGTTCGCCGAGCTTGGCACTTGGCTTGCAAAAGTTTCGTCACCCTACGAGGAGACATCATCAGTGCGCAGTTGGGTGGGTACTTTTTCCTTGCCTGCGTGTGTTTATATAGTCTTCGAAGGCTATTTGATATCTCCTGGCGTGATCGGCTACTTGAAGTGTAACGAATTTGGTGAATCTATTGGTCCGTCTGTGATCCTTGTTGCTGGTTGTGGTTTGCGTTCCTTTGTGCTGATTGGTTATCCCAAAGCCTTCTATTTTTAGTAGCTTGTTCTCTCTGGCCTTTGTTCGCATTGCGCTGTGGTATGACTTTCTCGAGTTTGATTGGTTACTTGTGCCGCCCTATTTCCTCCACCATGGCGGTTGGTGTCTCTGTGTTCGCCGTGTCCATAAATGAACGTTGGATAGAATCACCGATAAAACCATGGAAGTTAGTCTGACAAACCTCATCCAGGTTACCAGCATGTCTAGGCTTAGGAATAATTCCCGCCATTATCGATTGTTTCGATGACCAGATCTGGAGATCTGGGGTAATTCCTAAGAAACCGATCGGGAAAATTGACCGGGTCCAACCGTAGTCCAAATGGATACGTCTTTACAGCGGGCCTGACTGGCATTTAGCTAAAATATTTGCGAAAGAACCGCCGTGAGAAGGTGCAAACGAAAGGAATATTGGCTCCACATGAATTCTTCAATCAGAATGTGCGCCGATTTTGTCTAAACATTGCGACCTGGCTTGGGGACGAACTGGGTTCAGGAAGCGTGTAAGAGGCCCGAAGAAAGCTCAAATATCGTTCCAGACGAATAACGGCTCTAGGATTACAAATAAATATCAAACGAGAGTCCACATGCCCATGTGAGATATTAAACATCAATCTGCTCTATAACAGGGCGTCCAGCATCTCCGCAACTACGCCTGAGAAAGTAAGTTTGCTTACAGTCCTGTGTTGGTATAAGAAAGTTGGGTGAGGGCAACGCTATCACCCCTGCCAAACCGAAACATCTGGCGGACTCAGGTAGACCTTGAAATCCACAACGGAGTCAAGTAGTTCACCCCCATAAAATCGTCCAGGTAAGGCGGTCTCCGTTTAGCTGAGGTTTCAGAGAGACTAGAGTTCACAGTGGTCGTTGGCTTGTTCACTGAGCCGGGCAATTTCATAGCAAACGCTTTGATTACCAATCGAGGTGACATAATCAGTGCTTTATTAAGGGACTTTCAGATATCCAGGGCGTAGCGGTGGTTTGAGAGACACTAGAGGCCACAGTGGTCGTTGGCTTGTTCACTGAGCCGGGCAATTTCATAGCAAACGCTTTGATTACCAATCGAGGTGACATAATCAGTGCTTTATTAAGGGACTTTCAGATATCCAGGGCGTAGCGGTGGGGGTTAAAGTTTGTGCGTTGAGTAGTGTTACGTGTGTGTTAGTATACGTCCTGCTAGCCGGGATAACCTTTGATCGCGATTACTTGTTTGGTCGGGTGGTTGCATTAGTTACTCTGTTATCCTAACCCACCGCTACGTTTCACTACACTGTCTAACAGTGCACTGATGACGTCACCTCTATTGGTGATGAAACGTTCGCAATCCAATTTCCCAATTCACGGGACTAGCCAACTCTACGCTACGTTTCACTACACTGTCTAACAGTGCACTGATGACGTCACCTCTATTGGCGATGAAACGTTCGCAATCCAATTTCCCACGTGATATACAAAAATCAGCGAATCATTCTCGCCAAAGATCAACTTTCGAGTTCAAATGAGAACTTCCAGACTCAATGCAGGTCATCCCTTACAAGATTCTCATTTGATTTGTGCAAGTCACGAAGGATGTCTGTCGATCATGTGATCGATCACGGATGGTAGCTTTGAAATCAGTGAATCTTGGTCTTCTCCTGGCTAAACTTTGAGACCAGCTGGGTCACCTTCGATCGGCTTGCTTCATTCTAGGACTTCAGCAGCAGACCGTTTGTGACTGACGAAGTATACGGATTGGAAAATTATGGAGTTAGGGAACACTGTAAGCGAGAGACTCAGTCGAGCCTTTAGTTAAAGCCAAGTTAACCAGCAAATGGGTGTACCGCGTTCAGTATGGCATTAAAATACACCTCAAAGCGTGCGCCTACCTGGTGAGTTCCCAACTAAGATATGAACCAGCCTAAATGCAGCGCATCCACTTGGAGGATACCGTAAACGAAGGATTTAGCTCAGGTGCAGTCTAGTTTATCGTTTGAACCTTGTAACTATGCGATGATGATGATGATGATGATGATGATGATGATGATGATGATGATGATGATGATGATGATGATGAACTATGGGTGTACTCCAACAAGGACGTTTTACAGCTTGAATCAAGTCGGCAAAGCCTAAATGGGGAACCTAGAGTAGTCGCTCCCCCTAGCACGCTTTAACCTAGTGTGAGCTTTCAACCTATCATTAAACAAGTTACCTGATTCTGAATCAATAACAAAAACACAGAAAGACATCTCTGTCTGTGTGGTCGAGTAGATGTATGAACAGGGTACATATATCCTACGTTGACATATTTAGAGTGGTGCCCAGACCGTTCGCTGTATCGTTAAATCTTCAGTTGAGTGAACCAGGTGAGCACTAATCACGAATAGCATAGGCTATTGAGCAAAAGCCTCAGCTTTTGAACAGTTCCAGTACAATCTAAATTCAAACAGTAGAATTCGATCTCAACCTGATGTTTCAAGTCCAACAATGCCATCCTTGTGGGAAACGGCCAACTCGTAATTTGATTGGTCAGCGAAGGTGAACAGGTGATCGAGTTTCCTGGTGATAGTGTTAGGAGATTCGGGAACGTATGACGGAGACTCCTTACAACAGGAGCACTGTATAGTTGTTTCATCAGTCTTGCGAGTCGCCGCGCACCTCACAATTGGCGCGAACTAAGGTGGAGCATAGCGCCACTGAAATTCCCCTACGGATCAGTAAGTTTCCCACTGTTTGTGATTCCCAACAAAGACGAAAGCGCCAGATATCCCGCCCTGTTTGCGGTCACATGTTCCCCTCTTGTTAAGGCCTCCAACGTTAGGAATTCCTGTTTATTATTTAGCGGAAAACCGCCATCAAATGATAAAATCAGTGATTTTTCACGGGTAGGTAAGACAATAAATGGAGAGAAACACCCATTACATTGAAAGCACTGCTCTCCACGTTTCAAGGTCACCGCACATTCACCGCAACATTACTTCACAATAACCTTCTCGACATTGTTCCTCTAGCTTTTCGTAAAAAGCGTCCAACGCTCAAATGAAGTTTCGAGCCTGCCGACTGAACGTGCGGTCGCCGGTCCTGATTGGTTTGCTTACTGGCCTTCTTGTACTCTCCAGTTTGGCAATGATATCAGCAATTGTTCTCTATGGACTTTCTGAAACCATTTTTTTCCGCTTGTTGCACGAGGTAAGTACTTTCAATATGCCATACGAATGTTGTATTTTTCAGACTACTGGTATAGATACCAAGTAGTAATAAATGTTTGTTGTTTAATCTATCAAACACACTGGCCATTGACTTACAATACTGGTCAGTCCTAATGTAATCAATCAACGGATTTGGCCTTTTAAAAAAGGCTCACTAAAATTCTCCAGTTGTACTCAAGTATATTTGTGCTCTCATGCCTTTTTTGTGTCGGCCGATTCTTGTAAGTGGCCGGTTCCTAGGACTGATAGTTATCGCGTACTCCATGAGTCGACATTTTCGTCGAGAATGATCCAATGGCGCCATCTGAATTTGAAAACTGCAATAGGCACCGCTGAGTGTGCCATTCTCTCAAGTGCACCTGAGACGAATCTTTCTATAACAAGCAAACAAAAAAGGACATCAGTGATAGCAAAGTGCCTCGGTTGAACCCGGTTCTACTATTTCTCGGTGAACACACTTTAAAAAAAACAGTGAGTCGCTGTTTGTAAGATTACTTGATGCTTGAAAAAATAGCTTTCGTTCTTATGGCTGCCTATATCTCCTTCTCATGATGTGCTGATTGCGTGTTTGAGAAACAAATTAGAGATGGACGTGAGCACTGATCAGTTTGTATCAACTTAGCCAGAGTGACTACTTCATTCTACTCCAGCTGCAATGTGTGGCAAGTTTAAAAATTCGGATGTGCTATTACGAAAAACGATGTCATTCTTGCATATGCCTACGTCTAATTGACCCGACTCTTTATGCTACTTAGCCAGATACTACTCGTAAGGCTTATCAGTAGTTTTCAACATTTAACCGCTAGTATGATGTTGCCTACCAACTGTCGTTACATCGGTCCACACAACACGTTGAATTTCCACTGTCCACTTTTACGTTCATGATTACCCACAGCAATTGCGGCTTCTCCCGAACTCGCAACTCTACAGAACACTTTTCGTGTCACCGCCTTTGCCAGAATACCACCGTTTCTATCTGTTTAACATAACCAATCCGGACCAAATGGTACGCGGTGAACGGCCAAGATTGAAACAAGTGGGCCCTTTTGTATTCAGGTGGGTGTCTTGACACTTGGCTCAGAACTGGGATTGTCATCAGTTTATATTTTAATTTGTTGGCTACAGAGCGTACTTGTGTACGAAAAAGGGCACCTTCCCGAAAACGGTTCATGGCTTTCCGTAGGATATTCAGTAAAAACCCTGTTTTTTTCAGCTTCAGCAACCTTTCGTTACCTGGCTGTCACCCGAAGGAAGAAAGAGACCTGTGGTACTGCCAGGTTGCCCAAGACAAGAGATTGTGTACGAAAAAGGGCACCTTCCCGAAAACGGTTCATGGCTTTCCGTAGGATATTCAGTAAAAACCCTGTTTTTTTCAGCTTCAGCAACCTTTCGTTACCTGGCTGTCACCCGAAGGAAGAAAGAGACCTGTGGTACTGCCAGGTTGCCCAAGGCTAGACAAGAGAAATCAAGATGTGGAGGTCGGGTTCGAACCACGAGGCTTCCCATCAGTAGATTCGATGTCTAACCACTGAGTATGTGAACTTGCGAACTGTCAACACAATGTGCATCATACTTCTGAGTCCACGGCGATAAAATTACTATTCTGTCCTGCTTCTTGTGTGAATTCCCTGGCCCCGATGGCCGAATGGGAATGGTCGTGGGCCACTCTATTGACGTTTGTCGTATGAAGATGATGCCTCATAAACTGACAAAAGCAAATCAAATCCGACAATATTTCAAGCTCTCCAGTGACCCCCAGTCGCTTTTTGGAGGCGAACTTTCATCAGATATCGAGTATTTGAGAATCAGGAGTGGTACACTCTTAACTAACCCAAGCAGACCGGACCCAAGCCGATCCACAGGTACAAAGCGATCGATCCAATTTATCAAGAATTGAGTACAAAAAACTTCAGGAACATCATGCTCAACAAAATAGCAAACATAGAAGACAGTAGAAAATCCTTGGAGCACGCAAAACTGGATAGGTGACTACAAGCCACAAGAAGGACAAGATCGAAACGAATCTGCGCTAGACGAAAGAACTGGACAATATACAAAATATCATAGTGAAACGCGGGAGTATTTAAAGATTAACCAATAAGCCCAAAGAAAGGAGACTAAAATGATTACGTCAGAACGGAAGGACGACTGTTCAAACGAGGGTGATGCGAATGTGAAAACTACTCAGATCATCAGGCTTCTAGATGACCATTCAGATAGCAGGAAAACGGACCGGAATGCAAACCACAATCACAAACCAGTAGGAACTTAGGAAGTGAACTACTGAATTGAACGGACTCAACAAAACAATCAAAGGATGCGCCGATTCCAAACGAACCAATCGGAGTACACGTGGGTGGGTATTATATCTACCAATCAGGCTAGAGATATCAGACACTCTTTGAAGCTATTTATATTTCCTTGAGTTGACTAAATTTTCCCTGACGATGAATAAATCACCTATCGGCTTGAACCAGATACAAGTATTTCTTGAGCGGCGTAGAGCAAAGATTCCTAACGGGTTTATTTAGTTGGACTTCAAGTATTCTGCGATAGTATGTCTTTCGAATCAATGATGAAAACGAGGTTGAGGAATTTACATCACTCCATCTTTCCGGTCCAACTAGTTCCAAATCTGTGCAATGTCTAGTTGTTATAAAGTTTGGAAGAACACTATTCACTTGTTTGCCTTCCGTGCAAGCAGTAGCTTCGCATGTTCGAAGAAATGTTATGATCATTTTTGTTAAGAAACTGACAGTTGTCTTCTTGGAATGTGGTTTGTTCTATATGATTAAAGTCGTATACAAAGCTGGATGAACATGCGGTTCACTGTCAGCCGCATCAGACTTTGTTCATGGTCCTCGGGGGATCTGGGAGTTTCGTTGGATATGATATGGCAATCCAAAAAAGAATACGCACGCGGCATTCGGCTTACCCTTAAGAATAAATGGAAGCTAAACCTTCATTAGATTGCTTACAGTAATTTGTTAAAAACGTTTTTGCAGAGTTAAGTTAGGAGGGACTCGTGTCAACCTTCATTTATTTTTCTAGAATGGATTTGAAATCTGGTCACGTGATGCAAGCATTCTGGCTGGACGCAACACGTGAGTTGCAGCAAAACCCGACTGACCATTAGTCACGTGATATTCGTTCGTGCACACAAAACAGCCAATCGAAGTGGGTTAGGCACGATGAACGCTGCATACCATTGCAGAGGCTAGACAGGGCAGATGCAGATGCATTGAAATTTCTCCAAAGATGACAATAAAGTCGTGAATTCATGCAGCCATATGGCCAAGTTTATTTTTTCTTGGCTTGACCTCTTACCTCAATTTACTCCTTACGGATCCGAATCAGTGATTATAAAGGTGGATGAAAGTTTAAAAATGAAACTGGAAAAAAACGCATGGCAACTTACTATCCTCGTGCTTGTGGTCACCTTAATTCGCTTGAACTTGTTCAATTTCCAATAGATGATGAGTAAAAAACTGGTTCAAACATGTTATCTCATCAATTATTACCTGGGTTAGAAAACGTTTATTTAGGGTGTAGTACTTGGGGCATCTTAAATTTGAACGGTATTTGGGCTCTCGAATTTAGTCCAAAGTTGCCTGGTGGGAAGTTATTCCCTTGTTAGAATAGAAGAGAAAGTTTAGAGAAAAGAACAAAGGTGGACGGGGAAGGGGCATAGTGTAGCTTACCACCAATCATTCTGAGGTGTCTACACCTCCAGACATTCACTCAGGCAATCTGGATAGAAACTGACAATTTAGGGTGTAGTACTTGGGGCATCTTAAATTTGAACGGTATTTGGGCTCTCGAATTTAGTCCAAAGTTGCCTGGTGGGAAGTTATTCCCTTGTTAGAATAGAAGAGAAAGTTTAGAGAAAAGAACAAAGGTGGACGGGGAAGGGGCATAGTGTTAGCTTACCACAATCATTCTGAGGTGTCTACACCTCCAGACATTCACTCAGGCAATCTGGATAGAAACTGACAACAAGAACGCCACTGACATCGGTTGGCAGCCATATTTTGTAGTGTCTCTAACCAGGTGCAGTGCGGATCACGCGGTTTCCATCCTGGAAGGCGAGTAGCACCGGCAGCACCCAAGCGTTTTGTAATCTCCTTCATACTCCTCTGCCAAGTCAAGGGTTGGTCACCTCTCTGCTTACGCCATTCTGAGTTGGGCCTAAACCCAGCTAATTGGTTTGTCTTTTCAGAGTGGATACTGAAATTATGCACACACAATTCTCAAAAGAACCGAGGCCCAGAACACTGGAATACGGATTTCGGAGTCAGTTTTATTTTGAAAACCAGGGATCTGCCAGTTCGTATGAAGAGAATATATTCATCCCAAATTTGATTCACCAGGTGAGCGCAGTTTTTCACAAGGAACGACAAAGGGTATTGTTCAAGCTGACAGGCATCTGACATCACCGATGGTCGGCTGTTGGGGAATATCCATTCATGGCATTGATATTCGTCTGACAGTTTTAGTTACTCATTTTTTAATAGTAGCTCAACACTTGTAGATAAAAAATGCGGATAGCTCTACAGACCGGCGAGACACCTAACTGCGAATTCCTGATGAAGATGAAACAGACAAATAGCGTTACTCGGCTTTTCAGATCAATCCAACTTCAACTGTAGTGTAAAGTCATTCTCAGTTGCCCCTACTTCTGAATCACATATGTGGAAAATTGCTCATTTGTCACTAAGTCGATTGACCTACGTTGGAGAGAATAAGTTTTGCAGACTGATAGGGCGGATTCCTCGTTCGCTGGCTAAATTCCTCGAGAATGTGAGAAAAACGTTCGCTTCGAAGGGTGTTCGCTCATCAGGATAGTCCTACTGAATTCTGTGTTTTGAAGATTCTTAGAGAGAGGTTTGGAACTTGTTCTGGAACCAGTCAGAAGCCAAGCATAATCGCCACGGGAGCACTCCTGTGTAGTTTATCTGACGCACTCTGGGCTTGTCGGTGAGTCAGCAGGTCCTTAACCATGATTGGCCGTTTATTCCACCTTGGAATGCATACCGGGCACATCTCCGGCTCGCGATACGTTTCCGAGTCCCCAGCAATTATGTAGTCACTCACTCATGCTCAGTCAGTTTCAACCTATTGGCCTAGTCGGTCCGATTCAATCAAACTGGCACGTGAGTTTATGACTAGCTGACTTACCGGTGTGGTCGGTTCATAACTCTTTCCTTGCAGTTTAATTACTTACTTTTAAGTTGAATTCAAGTTCACATTACAATCGCTTGAACAGTTGTCAGTCTGACCTGGAGCAAATAGTCTGATGAGCTGAAATCAAAGAGGTAATCACCTTTAATCAATTGGAAAATGTTTGGGACCGATTGGGAAGTCATCGTTTCAGAGCGGTTTGGTAAACAATTGGTGCATTTATTGCTGGGCAACGTTTGGCTTTTGACTCAAATGCTTCGTCAGGCCAAGTGAGTGAGTACGTAAGTAGGTTGATTGGGTTTTAAGGCAGTCAGGGGACCAGTCCGTGAGATTTTTATGACTAGTGGCTTGATCAGTGCTGGATGTTCAGTCCGATGTTCCTGTTTGTTTACTAGTGGGGATGACTAATATTTACGATAGATTGGTTAGGGGGTGAATCGTCTTCATTTTAAACTCATGATGGAACTCATCAGCAGTGTTTCTCATTGGTCACGTCGCAGTTTAGTCTCCGGACATCTGACATACGAGCGCATACCTGAAAAGACAAACGTGTTCACACTTCAGCAATATCATTGGTTTGGTCGATGGCTCGGTTTTGTCCATCGAATGACGCGCTTGCTAGGACTTCCCAGTCTGGTAATGCCATGAACGCATGAACAATGCTTAATAGTTTCTTGTTTCTGGAATTGGTAGAGTGCATTTCCCAGTAAAGTGCTTCGCAACCTTAAGTGTGGACTTACAGAAATCATCTGTCTGGGTAGGGATCATCACAGTTCAAACTTATGAATGACGCGAACGTGAATTCCACAAACTGCGCAACTCCCTCCACGTATCATGTTGAACCCCTTAGCAGTGTACCTTCCAGTGTGTATTCAGTGAATTTTGTTCCTTTTTTTGGGGATTTTTACAAATTTTCTATGAAAACAAAATTTCTGTAGGAAAGGACTAAGCAAACAACCACACGTTATCCCACTTTGATGTTTGTTCTTGGGGCTAAAGGTCACTTCTGTGGAGACCACGTTCCATGGAGACCTTGTGCTTCAGAACCGTCGCTTCCGATGGAGCCGAAATTTCAAAGGAGAGAATATTATCTCGTCCAGCGTTCTGGTTATCCACAAGAAAGCCAAGTTATTGTGAGGAGTTTTGGTTTTCACAGATAAGCCTTGTAGATGACTAATCACAAACGCATCCAGCCTACTTCCGAACAAGTACGTACTTAAATTCGACTGCAAACAAATTTGGTTTTGCGAGATACTCACTCAGAACTCAGCTGAATCTCCCGGTTTTGATATTTCTAGGCAAATGAATGTGCTGCACCAGGCCGCCTCATGTTTCAGTTGCTACAATATTCGAGATATCGCCCAAGAAAGGCGAGATTGGTCGTGGGCTTACGAGGAGTTTTCAGCAACCTTATGAGTAGTGCATTACGAGTATACATGTATGGATAATTTTTAGGCAGCAGCTGAAGGCAACAGACGGCTCCGTGGAGTACATCACCCTTGTTTAAACAGCTCCCTTCCTCATATCCCCGAGCAGTTATTAGCCTGTGTCTACACGAAATGGCCAATGGGGCGGTTGGCTTTTTAGGGCTTATCAAGTGTGCATACCCTTGGCTGTGTCAGGATTCGAACCACGGACACCTGAAGTGTTTGATCACTAATCCAACAAGGTACGGTGGACAAATCTGAATTGTAACATTTGAAGCTTGAGCGATGAAACCTAAAGCCTTGTTCCTTCGAAAACACAACTGTTTACCCGTTCACTACTCTGCCTGTCTAGCTTGAAGAAGTGAGTTAAACGCACACAATTTCGATACAATGGAGCATATCACCAATATATTGTCCATATATCTATCACTCGTATATATAAAGGTACTGTTGCAGCCAAACGGTATCTCCAGCAGTGCGTACCCTTGGCTGTGTCGGGATTCGAACCGCGGACGCCTGAAATGTGGGATAAGCGTACTACCACTAATCCATGAGTGTTATATTGTAATTGTGGCGTTTGAAAAGGCGAAAGGCTTCAAGCGTGAGCGAGGAAACCTCAAGACACGTGACTTCCGAAGCAAAACTGTGTACTTGTTCATGAACGAGAGGTGTGCACGCGGATTATATTGCGCTAAATCGTGAACAGTCGTGAACTCATACAGATTAAACAAACTGCTTTGTCTCGGGTCCCCTGGGCTCAAAACATTGCGAAGGTTTTTAACATTATTCAGCTTGTCGAAACTTCTTCAAGTATGCACTTTTACTAGCTGTGAAGGAGAATTTTGGTGCTAACCCTCAGCCTGATCAAACTGTGAAACTGGGTCGGAAATTGGGTCACACATAAACTGGGAACTTATTGGAAATTTTTTTTCTGACTACGCTACTTGTCTAGCTTGATGGGGTGAGTTACCGCACACGTTTTTTTACGATGGATCATATTGCCATTTTATATCGTCCTTATAAACATATCTATTTGCCTTTAGTACTCCTGAGTTGCGAGAAATGCTGCTTCACGTGAGAACGCATTCATTCAAAGTTTCTCCTGAGGAAAATCAATCGATCAATAGACTATTAAACTAACTGCGTCGTTTGATTCGCCCTGACGCGATAAACCTGCATCAACCAAAACTAAGGAACGTTAATCGACAGACGCAGTTGTTTAGAATTTTATAGCCCGGTCGACGAATAAATAATTCGGTGCTGGAATATTACTTGGCTAATACACATAACCAGAGGACATCTTTAGATTAGCCGAAATCGATCCGTATGATTGAACAGGTAAGTGGGAATTGATCGATTCAACCACCCATGAACTTCCCTGCCGGGCGACCTTGAGAATAACGTGTCTGATTCACGAGAGACCATTATTATATAGTTATGACCGAGGAAGATTAGAAAACCAGGTGGCCTTTGTTAACCAACTGCTCGTGAGGTAAAACTACGACCAGATGAAAATTCAGCGTTCAGATTTAACTACTTGGAAGTAATCAGTAGTTTACAAATAATTTGCAATATACAGCTGTCTACCAATATGGGGCTCTTGAAATAGCGCAAAAATGCAAGTACCAAAATAGCCAATTTCCGTGGGACAACGTGCGTGAGGCTTACCCCTCTGCAGTTATAGTGAAAATGTTTTTGAATTCACTTTCAGATCAGTTTTTTGAATGATTGGTCGTCCCGTTTTTCCAAGAATACTATTCGTTCCTAAGTTTAGAGAACTGATCGAATGAGACCATAAGATACACCATCTTCTTTGGATAATGCTTCCAAAGGTCTATCTGGTGGCACAGTCCGGTGGCATTTCAAGACCGGCAGACATAGTGGTACCTAACTAACTGAAGACGATTGAAGACGCTGGGTGAACTCAGCTGAAGTGGAAATACAGACTGTCTGTCCCCTGTTTTGTTCCCGTAAATCGATGAAAAACAGACTGAACCAAGGAAATCTTAGTCCAATGATGCAAAAGTGTGGTGCTGAGTTAGATTTCAGTATCGTACAATTCATGGGACGTAAGAATATGTTCCCCGTGATTGGTCAACTATCTGATTCTCTTGGCTTGGGGTTGGTCCTTGGGGTTGTTCGACATTTTTTCTAGTTCTGAATAAAACCGAAGGCTAGTAATTGGATAATTGGTTCGCCTCAGAAAAGAGTCCAGCAGCATTATCGACCGTTTGTGTCGTCGGAGCCTACAGCGCCGGTCTCAGCATAGGTCCTTTGCGGTCTGGTTTCGAAGCTTTCAGTCGACAGATCAAAGGTGGTCACATGGAATGAATCCCGGAGATTAGGGCTCCAATCAGGCAGGCAAAAAATCAAGGTCAGACTTCACCCTTCTGTTCAACAGGCGATATACAAGCACAAACGTAGCACTGCTCAAAGCCTGAATTCACAGTTGCACGTGAGCTAGAATACACTCAGTGGTTCCAAAGTTAGACGGAAGAACGACCAAGTGCCACAACCGAATTACGGCTCAAAAGCCTGACCACTAGACGCCAGCCGTTGGCATGGTACTACTGAAGTCGTCTGATTTTTCTGAAGTACGACGTAACATCTATGTTCCCACCACCAGCGTGGAAGAACAAGCCGCCATTCTCATAAGACATCTATCGGTGAAAGGAAGAAGGCCTTCGCTTCGAAGTTATCCATTAGAAAAAGGCCAACTGACCAGTTACAGACTACTGGACAGGGAAGCAAAACTCTCAGATGCATCTTATTTACAAAACTGAATATCCACCTTATCCCTCAACGGGTCTTCCTGAACTTTCCTGGATATTCATTGACTGTTGCTCCAATCCGAACAAATAGGACTCCACGAATTCCGTAATAGATCGCACTCTTCAAGAGACGAGAAGAGGATTTACGAGAAAACATACTACTTGCACGCCCCATCAGTAGTATAGCAGTAGTTACATCGGTAGTGGTTGGACAATCGGTGTGGATGCAGCACTGGCAACCTCTACTATATGTCAACCCTCTGAAGGGGTTCGTGAACCATTGCAGTTAAAACACTGGGTCGTGGGAGAACTCAATAAATTCAGATCGATAGTAAATCTATTGTTCTTCGCCACTCGATTAGACTGAGGTGTAGACATCACAGTTCGCCCGATTCTGTGGCCGCAATCGGTCACTGGACAAAGCGTTTAATCCCATGTTTCCCCCAGAACAAATCTAAAAAACCCTCTATTTATGGGTTCAAAGCGAAATGCGGTTTGGACTCCGAATAGCTAATTTTTTCATTGCAGGCTCGACTGCGGTTAACAATTAATAATGAATATTCTTGAATTATTTGCGCTTTTTCGTCAGGGAATTGTTAGCAATCGCCTCAAAGTCAATTATCCAGATGCAGTGGTCAGTCTCACTCCGAAAGAAGCATTATGGGGGTACGATGTTGTTGCCTTTGGAAAGAGGTTCAAACTTGGGTTGCTTAGTTCGGTAAGTATTGATCACTTGTTTCACATATGCGTCTTCTAGCCAGTAGTCTGTGTATACTCTTCATTTTGGATCGAATGCGGTCGTCGAACCAAGCTTTATCACCACAGGTTTTCTAAGCCGGTCGACTGGTGTTGTCTTCTGAACGGTTTTTTAACCCTGTGTCGGTCCTTGACTTCCTGCTCCGCCCACTATGGGATACCAAAAGGCACAGTAGCTTCAGACAGCCCCTTATGGAGACAAACGAAGTTGATTGAAACTTTATTTATAGGGTAATCACAGAATGTTTCACAAGGTTGTGCTAGAATTCTCGTGAGAAGAGCCGAGCGAAAAATGCTCGATCCGGATTGGCTGGCGTTCTGACCAATCAGGGTATGCCTTCGTTTGGACCTTAGGCCGCACGTGACACATTCGGCCAATTGGCATGCTGTTCAGTTGCTAGGGTCGGCTGACGCCCGGACAATTGGAATACAGAGCGAATCAGCACAATCTTTGGCTAGACCGTCAGTATTGATCCAGCTGTCCAGGTAGACAAATTTTGTACGGAACTTCAGTCGATCCCCACACAGGCCACTAGAGACGTGCCTACTATGAAGCACAGTTATCGAGCTTATGGTCAGTTATTTCCGCTTCCACGGGAGTGACAGATGATCGCCAGGAAAACTGGCGATCCACGCACGATTCCAAACGCAGTTATATCGAGTGGACAACGAACTTGGCCCTTATTCGGTATCAGTAACGTATTCAAATCCACCTCATAATTTGGGCTGACCCTACTAAGCTCGGTTGTACGTTTTTGCAACCACCAGTCTAAGTAAGTTGAGTGGTTCCAGAGTATTCACTTAAAAAGCCGTAAACTTGAGTCGATCGGACACAGAGAGATCAGGGGTAACTTTGTCACGGATGCAGCGCATATTCGTTGTAGCTGGGAATTAAAGCCGTCCAAATCGACAAACCGGAAGAAATGAGAACTCACCAATCAGAAGCTTTTCAGCGGCTTTTCTCACACACTCTGATCGGACACCTCTCTGCAAAATGTGAAGATGCGTAGATCACCCCTTGTATTACGCAACAGACCAGCGAAGTGTTTGTATCCTAGCTACCTGGTGAGGTTACCAACTGCTTGACGGCTGACCTAAAAGTTGGGTGTGCTCTAGCCAATGTGAAGGGCCACCCCTCCCCACTCATTTATGAAACCATGCTCCATTTAACTCCCAGTTATTTGTACATACACGGATTTTCCGACCAGTTTGTAGTACGCAGGTTAACCTCACCATGCTTCCGAGAAAAACTGCTCATTCGTCAATTTGTGGTATCTGCTGCTGACCCGCTCCAGTGTCTCAAAAAAGACTCACAGAAGGGAACACAACAGCTGCATTCCGAACAAGCGAGTGGGAGAGCAAAAGTTACAGCGGCCCCACGCTGTTTAAAGGGGACTTTCTGACATTGATCCAGGCTGTCTGATAGGCGTCAGTGAACATCCATCAACATCGATCTTGCCTCTATGATATGCCTGAACGCTGATCACAATCGGTCGTGCTTCTGTGGCCGCAAGAACACTAATCAGGTCTTGCTGAATTGATTGAATGATTGACTGGCCTGGATGCTTGCGGGTTTACCTGTTGAGTTTTTGGTGGAGCAGTACGTCCGAGCGTTCTGAGGTTACTTTCAAGAATCTCACCTTCCAGCCGTCAGAAACATTGCACAGCTTTTTGCTTATTGCGAATCATGAGCCGTGCGTAGCTCAAGGTCACTGGTTCCTAGACTTTTTAAAATTCGTGACATTTGTACTGATGACGACAGCGTCCAGCAAGAATAAAGTCGATTTACATTGCTCTCCTGCACTGATTGACTACGCAGAATATCAAATTTTGACAATAAATGCTCAGCAGCAGTGTGGCGGAATGTAGGTAGCTCGGGTGAGCTGCTTGGTTGTTGCTCTCTTCGCCGAGCTTGGCAGTTGGATTGCAAACGTTCAATCGGCAGTTTTGGACTGCCGTGGTATCTGGTACATTCTAACACGCCATATATTCGACTCGGCATACCTCCCCTTGATATTTGAACTCAAAATGAAATTACCGTAGAAAAATGTCAGCTGTAATAACCACGTCCTTGTCGTAAAGTGGTTGTAGCTGCCGCAGTTTCGTTCACCGATGATTTGGGGGGGGGGGGGGGAGATAGCTGCGCATTGCAGGCGGGAGCTGATAAATTGGTACATAAATTCAGCAGTCAGTAGGCTATCACAGCCGTTGTGACGTGAGAGTATTGCTACCTGTAAACGTCATGTTTGTTCATGGGCTCGAATACTGCCAGGGCACCCACCCCTAGATATGAGGACGATTAGAGCCCTCAACCAAAGCCTTGAGACTTGGCCTAATCGAGCAGCGGACCTGAGACGTCTTCAGGTGTTCGACAATCGTTGTCTCAGAACCATAGCTCGTCTCTGGATCTCTTCCACCCTTCACGTGGTTGTGCGAAAAGAGCCCTTCGAGGAAGTCGGTCGACTGACATACGCAGCCCGTGGCCAAGCCAGTGCAAACGATGCACTCTGATCAGCTGACCGTAGAACATCAATAACAAGATCATGTTACCCACGATGACTCGCTCGGATCAGCGGAGTCACAGACCAGCTGACTGAACAGGGGGAGTCAAACAATGACTTTTTGAAAGCCGTTACTAGCAAACTTAGCCACTCTGGTCCCTGCTATCTGCCTGGATGGGGACCCCGATGAAGGATACATCCATGGTTCGAAACTTTGGCACACTTGTCCCATTCGCACCCTTAAAGGCATTCACGCATCCAAGCAGTTATCTTCAGTGCGAAGCTTCTACACCCCGATGAAAAGTACACCAATACTCGCCTATTTACATATCAATTAAAATACCTACCGCCACTAATGAAAAATTTTCACAATTGCAAATTAACGATGACTGAGAAGCAACTTAAGGAAACCTAATCTGGCATACCTCATTGATCCGATGTATTCTAAAGTCTGAGTTGTAATCATCTTGAACAATTTAAAAAAACGGGTGAAATGGCTGAATGTTTTGAAGGATTTAAGTAGTATGAGATGATTGCTCGGAATTTGGAGAAAAGCCACTATCGGTTTTGCTTTGATACGATTGGTTGAAAGTTTCGAGTTCAAATTAGAAGACACTTATGCAAGGACACGGGTGTACAAGTGGCTAAACGGGCCGGGTAAGCAAGTAACTTAGTCACATGTCCAGTCATCCCCCAAGGACAGAACCTCACGCGCGCCACTAAGGTCACACCAGTGTGATGAAAATCCATCCGGTGAGCAGGTGTCGTTCGGTAAACAAGAAACATTTCTAAATCAATTTGGTTTTAACGAGAGACTCAACTAAATTTCTCGTATATGATATTCTACAACTGAACGTAAAAAATCTCTCAGCTGTAACACCTTTTCGGTGCCTGGCTGCCATGCTACCCGAAGGGAGCACGAGGGCTGGGATACTGCCAGGTTTCCCAAGCCTAGAGAGAGGAAGTCGAGAGGCAGAGTTTGGGTTCGAACCACAGACCATCCGGTTAGTAAATTCGCGCCGTAACCACTTGAGCCAACGTAGAACATAAGTTTGACGGAAACTCGGGGACTGCGCCTATCTGATGAGCTCCAAGAAGGGCGAAACCGGTCGTGGGCTTTCGAAGAGGTTTGGGCCAACTTGGAAGTAGTTTCCTTTATGAAAATATACTGCGATATCTCGAATATCGTGCGAACTGAAAAATGAGGCGGCCTGTGTGAAGCACATTCATAAACGAGAGATTCAGTTGAGTCTCTCGTGAAAACCAAATTGATCTGTAAATGAGTATATTTTTCGCAAACAGTCTAATTTGGGTTCAAGTAGAACATATGAGTGACAGAAACTCGGGGACTGTGCCTACCTGATGAGCCACAAGAAGGGCGAAACCGGTCGTGGGCTGTCGAAGAGTTTTCAGCAACCTTGTGAGTAGTTTCCTTTATGAAGACATACATTTCTATTCGTAGCACGTTTCATAACTTTGCAAACCACTTGACACCATTCAACTAATTGAATGATATCAACGTCCGGTTCACTAAAGCATTTAGACTCCCATGGCACCAACGAAAGTAACTATCTATCCTGCGGAAGTGCAGTGAATCAGATGGTAAGTCCACAGTACTGACCCACTGACCCAGCAAGTAGGAGACTGTGGGTTCGAATCCATCGGTTCACATCACTGCTGCATGGTTTAACAGATCAATGTACGAGTGTCTTTCTGTCCAATCAGTTCCCCCCCCCATGGGATAGACATCATCCATAGTTCGAACCCGGGTGCATTCGAACTACTTACTTTCCCCGGTAGGAGAGAATGCGGTATCCACTGATTACTATGCAACAAATATCCTTACAGTTTCCAAATGTGATTACTTTTCAGTTGACGAGGCAGTGTATTATATGGTGGAGCAAAATCTTTAGGATGAACCTTGCATTTAGACAAAGTGAAATTTCTCGAACAAAATCCCTTGTCCTGTCAGGCAGCATATCCAATTGCTACCGCGCACAACAGATTACTAAAAAAGGTATCATTTTTCTGCCATTCAGTTCAACTCTTCAGACATCACTACCTACGTCGTTGACACCGGGGCGGAAGACGTACGCAGAACGGGCACCGTGCTGAGCATCGACAGTCACAGGTGAGCAATGTTGACCAGACTTTTTTCATTCTCGATGATATATTACTTTGCTACTACTCTACCGTTCCGTGTTCATGATAAATGAGGCCAGGAGGATAAAATCACGGTAAGGTTTCACTGAAACGAGATACAAGTGTTTGGGAAAGCATTTTTGGTCATGCATGCTGAGCAGATTGTCAGGTCATGTCCAACTAAAATGCAGAAAACCGATGTCGTTGAGTGAAACAGCTAATAGATGGTGATGAAAACCTGCAATATATTGCTCGATCAGTCACAAATCATCTCGGAGACAGTGCCCAAGAGAAAAAACAGTTTCCATCCGAGTACAACTTTGTCGTTCAACTGTGGAAAGCACCTTTTCGGCGCCTCGCTGCAACCTAGACAGGAGTCGCGAAGTTCTCGAGGCAGATTTCAAACCGCAGACCTCTCGGTCAGTAAACTCACACGATAATCAAGTAGTTGTATCGAGCTTCCAGTTCGAATTGGTTCCTACCTTACGGCTTCTAACGAAAAACGTTTCCTGAATCTATTTTGACCGTACAATGGCGGAAGTGAGTGGTCCAGACTTGAACTACATTGATTACTTTATCAAACGTTTCTTCGTAGCACAGGGGGTTTCAGTAATCGCAGATTTTCTGTGATAAAACCGCGCTTCGAACGATACAACGCTTGTATGGCAGTTGAGCACCTAGGTGGAAAATTAAATTGCAAATGACGTTTGAAGCTCTATCCACTAACCTAAAGATTCTTTGCACAGATAAAGATTTTGTGGTAATCCTGCGGGCCGTCCCAAAAGCGCACAGTCAATATGGGCGTTGATACACCAAGCTTTCCACACTTCAGTATGAAATCAAAGAAGTACAATCATATAAATTTAGGTCATCACAACAAAAACTTAGTTCGATTACCGGTATATCGTAGCAGCGCTTAAAAAATAGGCGGTCTCTGCACAGCAAAAACGAGAAATTCAGCTAATTGCTTTCTGGTTTTTTCATTGGCTCAGAACACCAACACTATTCAAACGTGAAGTGAACTCATAAGCGGTCACTTGAGGGTCATGTGTTCCTCGGCCTCGGGGCTTCGGGAATGTATCCTCAATTTATCCCTTCATTTCCGTAGCAGATCTGCACTAGAATGTTTCATCAACTGAGTGAACTTTACTGAACATGAAGACAGAACAATGTTTGAGCCGACTATCTGTTGCCTTTTTGTTGTGTCTTGCTGACCGATAGTGCAACTCTGCATCGGTCCCTTGGCTTCCTGCTCCGCCCACTATGGTCATGCTAGAATCACCGTGAGAGGGCGAGGAGCGTCGAGTCAAATATGCTCGATCCGGATTGGCTGGCATTCTGACCAATCAGGGCATGCCTTTGTTCGGTCGGAATTCTGCACGTGACACATCCGTCCAAATGATGTGATGTTCGCGTATTAGAGACGGCTGGCCTCCGGACAGTTTTGCAACAAGGATAATTGTTTGAGTGAAGTAACTGACATTCCAAATTAGTAGTCAGCCACCTTATGCTCCGTGATTTATTGATTTATTACTACGATTTCCACAGACTGACGACATATTATGAACACGAAGAGCCTAATTTGGTGAGTGGCAAAGGTGAGTTTAACCTGGGTGGATTTTGTGTCTAACATCATAAACAATCCTGATTGTTTTTCAAAAACGTTCACGTACGCAATAATGGAGCCCTTTATAAAATGTTTCCTGAGAGCACTTCTTTTGAATTTTGGCTTACGTTCGTTTTATTTCTGGAGAAATAACTTCAAGAGGCCGACCATTATCTAACCTATTCCGGGAGTTGAAATCTCATGAGAGGGAACAAATGAAGAGGACATGTGGGAAACTGAAAAGAGTAATTTTGTCGAAACGAACTAGAATCGCGAAAGCAGTCACCCTTTGGCGCGCACGGTCGCTAACATTTAGGCAAACGATATACAAGCGTTCACCAACTTGGAATGAAATGATTGGTTGGACCACATGACGGAAACATGTATCACGTTTCAAGGCTGTCTCAGTAACAAGGTCACAGAGCTAGGCGCTTAAATCGAGCTATCAACCGAATATTCCGACGCTGTCATGCGTTTTGCAAGTTCGCGCGACATATGCGCACTCTTTGCGAGTAATATACAAAATTTCAAGCGGTATGGCTAAGAGCCAAATAGATAAAGTGTGCCATACGAACCACATCAGTGGGCCGGCAGCCGGGAGCTCAATTTTTTTTTGGGTTGGAAATCTTGTCTGAACGCGACGGAATCTATTTTATCTTAAACTTTCGAGTATCAACACTTTAGCTCGCAAAACAGTGTGCGGTGACTCTGGGGTGGACCCAATAACAGCGGAAAACCAGGGGACGTTAGATATGTCGAAGAACATCGTCATCAGTTTTCGTTCAGATAAAAAACAAGAAAAGAATGGAATGCCTTTATTTCTATCATTGACCATAGGTTTCAGGCTTCACTTAGTTGAGCCATTAAGAAACAAAGTTTGAAGTACGAGCCACTTTTCAGGGTCGTCATTACATGTTTATGCATCCAAACAAATGTGCCGGTAAAGTTAATCAAAACGTATGTTAGCATTGCTTTCCTTCGTGTTGAGAGTGAACTGGCTAACATGCTACTGAAATTGGTGTTAGTAATCCATACTTTATAGATGGCGGGTTTCTGACCTTACATTATTTGTAATACAAAAAATGGTCAACTTAACTCGATTACTTGGGCAGACATGGCAACTCGAGAACTGACCACAGAAAAGTCTGTGAGTGCAAGAGCAAAACTAACTCGGATACCGACCAATCAGAGAGTTAACCAACTGGCCAATCAACCAACAGGATCGATCATCCGAGCGGCCAATCGCAGTCGGTCATGCTCGGCCAGCGAGACGTATGTCAACACGTAGGCTGCAGTGCTTAAAAACTTCACACATTCTTGTCGGATTGTGTAACCAGAGCGCTAGAGTGCCACATGGAGGTGTTGATGAGGTGTTTCCAGCGAAAAGGTTGGTTATGGATGACACCAAGGGGTTTGGAATATAGGATGTTTCGAGAAACATCACCTGAATTTGTTTTCAGTGGATGGAGAACCCGACATACTGTAACGAAAATAATGATTGCTAGACTACCTGTCTCTCCGGGATGGTCAAACTTGTCGGTTTACATATGAGCGGAATTCACACCCACGTAGCCGTTTTTGTTGACACGTTGATAGTGTGTGATATCCGTCCGTTAGGTGTCGTATTCCTGTTAAATGGGAACTTTTCATAATTCATATTTACTCCACTCTCATCTGAGCCGTTCTCTACCTTTTCTGGACCAAATATTCCGTTGAATTAGCCGGATGGGACAAGCACTGGTCTCGAGGTTAGCTCCCATTGGAGCTGATCAGCAGTGTACGTCCTTGACCGTGCCGAGATTCGAACTTTGGGCATTCGATAGGTGATGCGAGCATGTCGCCACTATTCTGCAAGCTCACAATGAAAAGCCCAGACCAAATGTGCTCAGGCTTGAGTAATTTTAATTGGTTTGTCCGACTGTGATCCAGCAACTGGCCAAGCTGAGTCGATTGATTGGCCCCGGTAGGGCCAAGGATAAGCATGACTGATGAGCTCTCATAAGAGTACAACTCAAATCCACTGCATCCGTGAGGGCTAACCAAACATCTGTACCTGGGCAGGATGAGTGCTACTCGAAATAGTGTGATGAGACTGTGTATTTTTAAAGACCATACTAAAATGTGGCAGCTTCAAAATCACTTTCTCTGTACTCGCTGATAGTACATTTTGCCAACATGCACGTCAACGCTTCTATTCTACCTCCCTCCAGTCGGTTTTCAGACTGCGCCAAACGCAAAAGTTGGAGATGTTTTAGAAATCACATCGAAATCAATGTGCCGAAAGATTAGCTTTGTTGCAAATTTGACGCGTCCCAGCAAAAATCATGATGGCGTAAAGGTGAGTGATATTTGTCCTTTTTGATTATTTATCAACCCTTATGTGCGGTCTTATATTCACCGAGGACTAACTAATTTGAGCGCTGAATATTGTTACTCTTTCGAAACTAACATGTGTCGAAAATACGGGACTGTACATCACCCATGGATGAATGGCCCCCTCACTATTAGCCTAATACACAGCAACAGTGTACAAGGATTTTCGTTCATGTGATACTTGGGAGGATGATGAATGCTGTGTAAATGACTGATGGAACCAGTGTGGAGTTTAAAATCGCTTTCAAGAAAATTATTTTTTATCGAAGTACTCCATTACCATCATTATCACTTTCATCACCATCATCATCATCATCATCATCATCATCATCATCATCATCATCATCATCATCATCATCATCATCATCACCGTCATCATCATCATCATCGTCATCATCATCATCATCATCATCATCATCATCATCATCATCATCATCATCATTATCGACTGCGTAAAATCAGCGTCTAAACGCTGATGTTTTGTGACGTAGTTTAGGGATTCAAATGGATCTCAACATGCGTTCCTTCCACTGAACAGTTTTCATTTGACATTCAAATAGTATTCTATGAAGAGAACTACCTCGGTATCTTGAATTCCGTTTCAAACGATACGAGACACGAACAATTCAGTGGTTCCAGCTTGTCTACAAACGGAGAAAGTGGCGTTGAAATGCTAATTCGGAGTTGGGTGTGACACTCTATTCACAAGTTTGCTGAGAACTTTCGACATCTCACGACCGGGCTCATCAGGCAAACGTAGTCCCGAGTTTTCGTCAACTCGATGTTCCACTTGAACCCAAGATTTCGACAAATACATTTATTTGCACACTGATTACTTTTCGAAAGGAAACTGAGCTTAATCGGACCATCAGAAGTGACAGGCTCAAATGGACTTAGTTGAGTCTCCCGTCAAGGCCAAATTCGTCTACAAATACGTGTACGTTTTGAGAACTGTTTGAGCTCTTTACACTCCCCATCATATTTAGAAAATATCCGCGTCATTCTTGAATAACGTTTCCACTTGAAAGTCTCGCGAAATGATCTCCCTAAGTACACGGCAAACTGCTCTTTTGGCCAGATATTCTTATACGTCAGAAACATGTAAGGTAAAGTATAGTGCATATACTTGGCCGTGCGGAAGTCAATATATTTGACCTACCAGAGGGGCGTGTTACCTCTACTCTACCGGGGTGTGCGTGACGCACCTTGAACGGGCAAGCGTTTTCTCCCTTGAGCGATATGATTGGATTACCGATGCCTGGAACGACAGCGAACGTGCAGCTGACTACCTTAGGTGAACACTCCCCGGAAGCTCAAAGTATCTGGTCACTGATGTACCCATAGCCTCCTGAAGGCCAATTACATTATAAAAGTATGTGACAGCGATATCAGGCAACGTTGTCAAAGCATGCTGCATGCTTCCAAATATCGTCCCCGCGGAGCTTTGTGGTGGCTCGGCACCCACAGGCTATAGGGAGGAGAAACTGTTCATTAAGATGGACGAACGTTCTCCCAAATAATTCGCCAATGAAGGATCTGGGCAACATGTGATCAGGTGATATGGGTTATGCGACTAAAGGATTATTGGAGCTTTAGACGTAACACACTACTCATAAAGTTGCTGAAAACCCTTCGACAGCTCACGACCAGTTTCGCCCTTCTTGGGGTTCATCAGTTAAGCGAAATTCCGAGTTTTTGTACAGCATATGTTCTACTTGAACTAGGTTGCACGAAATTAGCGAAGTTCATCAAAAAAAGAAATTCAGCTGGTGAGTCCCCCAGAAAAATAAACAAATTTGCTTGCAAATGTTGCAAATGAGTGCATTTCTCCGTGATTGTCTAAGTGAGAACTAGTCACACTGATGTTCATCCAGTTGTGTTCATCCATTGGCGGAAAGACCGTGGTTCCATCAAGTTCTCACTGCTGAGGATTCTCAATAAACAAACGATCCTAGCATAAACAATTTCTTCAGTACGATTAGCTTAGACTGGGCGAAATCTCAGGTGAACAATACCGATTCTATTCACACCACTGTGGACAACATATTTGCCACACGGTACGATAAGTCGCTGTCAAACAAATCGGAACGCTCCAGCTGTTCCGAACTGTCAGATGCATCTAGCCACGCTGGTTGACTGGCGGCACCACGCTCCGGAGTTCAAACGCCAACACTGCTGGTGAGCCCTATTAGGAGCGAAATCCGAGTGCAGCGCAGCATATCATATATTAAGGACAAATTCACCGCAAAAAATTAAAGTTGAAGAGTCATGTTATACACTCTAAGTAGGATCAGGAATTCGCTCCAGGCAAACTTGGATTCTCCGAGTGCAGCTCAGCATATCATATATTAAGGACGAATTCACCGTCAGGAATTCGCTCCAGGCAAACTTGGATTGCAAACATTCTGGCTCACAACAATAGGTTTGAAGTCGATTGACATACCAAATACTTCCTCACTACTCGTTTTTGGTGAGTAGTGTAAAAAATTGGGGAATTAGCCTTCCGGGCGCCCATTAGTAGCCCGACGAAAGCCACGTCATTGAAAAGTTGTCACTTCCACGGTTAGGAATGTTCCTCTACGCCACCAGTACACCTTGAAGGTGTTACCAGAAATTGAAAGAAACGTCCCAGACTAGCTCTAACTCGGCATCCAACAAGTTTATCCTAGAAATCACCGGAATGAATTAACATCGAAATAGCAGTTCGTTTTTTCTCACGCTTGGCAGTTGAGGTATGAGACCTCGAAGGAGTTTCGGGAGAGGGTGGGATCATATTTGCTTTTGTAGTAAATGTGTAGACCCTGGACTCTGCGCACTACAAACAACTAAGAGAGTAAGACGGTCGAGTGCGAATGTCGGTGTAAAAAAAACTCTTGGTTCCCTATCTTGCTCGAAGACTCATCTGTTGGGAACACCAGTAGCGGCCACATTTACTTGAATAATAAGGTGGTAAAAACGAGAGAATGCAAGGTGAGGTTGGCTACTCGTAGCGGAAGCGTGGTTGTCTGGTGAACTGCTTCAAACTGATTTACCTTCCATTTTCAGTTACTCAACTTTCGACTTCACCCCATGGATAGTACAACCAACTGGTCAGAACGTCAATACTGCTTGAGGGATGATGCATGTGTTCCCCAAGGCCTGATCAGTTTGGACTGTCACAGAGAAGAAATGCGTGGAATTCGTTTGTACGTTTCTTTACCGTTATTCCTGAGAGGTGATCCACGTTTGAAAGAACGATTTGAATTCCTGGATCCGGTTGATTTGCGAGGACACGACACGGAGATTAACGTGGAACCGGTAAGGAGTTGGGGATTCATTGTGTTTTCTTCGAGTTACTGAGGTGTGAGTTGCCCTCCGATGCATGTAATTTGAACGAACGTCTATAAAACATTTGTTCGGCCTGCTTCCAGAGTCTGATTGTGGTATCAAAGCGCACAGAAGCAGTTAGATCTGGTTGGGAGATTTAAAAGTCTTCAGGAAGTTTCTTCTAGATGGTGGAATTGACAGTGGCTGGGTTAAAAACTGAGAAGCTGGAATCATCAGCGGTGGCAGATTATTTCAACACAAAAAAACTGAAAAGCTGAATAACCTGTGTTCCGGACCATTGACGAATCATCTAGATTTGTTATGAAAATGGCCGCAGAACAAAGCGATTAATGCTCAGACTTGAGAAGTCTTCTGATTTTATCTAGCAGATGCTGTTCGCATGATGTTAGTATGCGCATCTCGCAAGTCAGGTGTCAGGAGTTAAAAACCCCATAGATGGCCAAAGATCAGCACTGCTGATGAGCACTACTGACAGTGATGGTCACGTCCAGTGAAGATCCCCTTCGGTCTAGACTCCTGAGAACAGCTACTCCGGGACAGGGTAACAGCTGTGCGAATGAGACTGACGTCAACATCGCATCTGCCATTCCCTCAACCATCTGCAGCCAATAGAAATGAGTTAAACGCGGCAACCCGAAACAGGCGCTTTGATTGGTCGAGGGGGGGCTGTCACACGCACGTGGGTTGCAGTTGAGGTCAGCTAGCCACGCCATTGGTCGGCACTGTGTTCCGACTGCACGGCGAATGTAGACTGACTGTCGATTCGCTCGAACCACACAAGCTATGTGGATTGCCAGGGCTTCCTTGGAATGTCGTTCTGCGTACATTTTTGGTCTGTTTGGATTGACTAAAACCAGTCAACGATTATTTTGTGGACCGACCGTTGGCAGGTTACCATGTAAGATTGTACAGGTCATCAATTTTAAAATATCATACCGCGCAGTGTGAAAGTGTCCACATTTTCTTTGCGTAGTCCAGAGTGATAAGTGAAATTGTTTATTACGATAGTACTATTACTCGGGGTTACTTTTCGAAAGTAAGATTCGTACAACTCGGATTACTTCAGGAGTTCACGTCACGCCATCTGTATATTCAAGGTCACGAACCTCAAAAACCCACTTAAATAGCTTCATGTATGGTGATTCGGATGACAGTGTGGAACCGGCCAAAGCCACTTAGCGGACCCACTGCGGAGGGCCTCTTGATATCTGGGATTTCTGCAGCTCTTCGCCGGTTTGCTCGAAACGAAAAGGCGACTTTCCGAAGCTAATTTGATGGAGTGCACTTTGGCCAAGTTTTGTGAGCATAAGCAAAGGTTCGAATGCCTTTTGGAACAGGATTCTTTCGCAAATTTCACAGGAAGTTAGTCATATCATAATTCGAGTGGCAACTGTTCGCTAAAGGTGTCAAAATATTCCGACATCCAAGTTTGTAGACGGCCAATGCAGTTTACGGGTAGGCCATACTAACAAGGTCTTGTCATTCATTCCACTAAGAGGAAACTGCAGAACGACAACTCTTCCCTTTTACCCCAATTTATCAGTTAACTGGCGTGACAATGGAGCTACGGCATCGTATTCAATACAATGTATTTCTGGACAATCGCATTGAGTGAGTGAATAGATACTTTTTACGTACTAAGAAAAAACATCTGGTTAGTCGTATAAGATTGCAGAATTTTATTTGAGATCTTGTCAAAACAACCACATTAACGTTCGAAACCCGATCGAAAACACTTGTACAACGTGTCGTATATAACGTTTATGCAAAAATTCCGATACTTTCTGTATGCGGCGTTCGCATGCGGTATTCGGCGGATACTGGATCATAATTGGTTGTTGGGTCCAGACGTTTGACCAATCAGAGCTCGCCTGATGCTGGACCGATGAGCGGCCTAACCGTCTGGCCAACTGAGTGCGGAGAAGGCTTCTTTGCCATAGCAACACAATACTGCGAGCACTAAAGTGGTATCGGTGCCGTACTCTGCTCAGTACAAGCCCCGAGAGAAGTGCTGTATGCCTGTTTCAGGCAGTGCCGCGTACCGAAACCGTGACCTCCAGGTTAGAAGTTGAGCGTTCGACCGTGAGTAACTCATTATTGGGTAGAATTCGGCGTCACACATCCTTCAATCACGGGATCCACATCACGTGTTTTGGATAAAATTTACTTCTTACTGAGTACGCATTTTTAACCTCGAAAGGTACCCAAAACTGATTGTGACTTTTATTTACAGGCAGTTCCAAAGGACAAATGGGCCATTCTATTTCCCAATACTCTGGTACTCACGAGTAAGTAACACTTTCACCTGAAAATTTTGGTGGACCTTAAAACACTTGTGACTTGGACAAAATGGTGATATGCCTTGCGACGGACTCGAATCAGGCATCTGTTGTTGACCTAATGAATTGCTGGTAATCATTTTTCGCCTTTCAAGTCGATAATATGTTGAAATTCGTCCCACATGGGGCGAAGGTAGCTAAGCTTGAACAAACTAACTGTTCAGCACATTCACCGTACCACCCGGTTCGTCAGTGCTCTATACAACTTTGCGGGGGTCCTGTAATGGCCTACTTGATATGATGGCATTTCAGGAGTAGTTGCTTAAATATTCCCCTGGTTTGAACACAGAGTGAAACTTGAATGTTTTTGAAATCTCCTGATCAAATTAGTCTTGGTTAAAATAGGGGTGAAAAATGAAATATGTAGCCGTGATTGGTCAGTGAAATAAGAACGTGTAGGCACGAACGATTGGTTTGCTGCGCTTCCACGTCGCATCCAATTGGATGCCGTGAGACAGTCTAGAGGACTGTTATGTGTGACTTGATTGGTTGGTTCGTGTCATATGCCCAAGACAGACTCAGCGTCCCTACGAAACGCTTTTGACTGCACAGTATCAGTTTTCGCAGACGTCTTGCGATTGGTTCGGCTGCAATCAAGCCAAGCCGTTCAGTCGATACTGGAATTCCATTGGATGACGTGAAATGACTCCTTCGGATTGCTCACGTGACCGGTATTCATTATGTGGGACATGATTAGGGTTTTGGCTGAACCACTGACTCCAGTGGTTCCTTGACAATACTTTATAAGTACACCGGACTTTACAGGATGTTCAGTTGAAAGATCGCACCGTATCTAGATCTCTCTCTGATCTAAACTCTTGATTGTCTCTTGACCTTGTCAGGCCAGTAACTTTATACTCCCAAATCAATTTCCTCAGGATATACAACAATAAGTTAGTTGTGTCCCTTCTTGATCATTCCAACCAAGGTTAGGGCTCGAATTCTTCCTTGGGTGCTTCACAGATAAATCACGCGAGTGGTTAGATTCGCCAACTTTTCAAGGTCACTGTCACGAATTATTCCATTCAATAACTGCACGACATGGCAGCATACCGCGTTTCCAACAATTTTCCACCCTATTCGACTGCTTTTTACACAATTTGTTTACCTGGATGCCGCTCACAAATCGCAGTGTCAGCATTCCCACAAAAATCCAGATCAGAATAAACGTTTGACGCAGTTGAAGGACCGAAATTTGAAACACAGGTGTTACCTTGTTTCAGATCTTCTAAGGAACTCGAGATTACTTGATGGCAAAAGCGAGAACTTACTGACATTAGGGTCTGTGGTTCGAACCCCACCTCGGGATTTTGACTGCTGGACTTGGGCAATCTGACGGTATCTCAGCCCACGTACAATCTTCGTATGGCTTTGCGGCCAGGCACCCAAATCGTGTCACAGCTGAACGATTATTCGATTCCCATTTTGCTCGTCGTGCTCACGTGCATTTAATCACCTGATGAGTAACCAATCAGCGGCGTTTACAATGACGAGTCTAGAAATTACTTCTCTTCCTTTTTATAGGAAAAAGTGGCTGATTATGACACCCTGGAGGCACTTCGAACCAGCGTTCTCAAGCCCTTTGAATTACTTCAAAATTGTCTGAAAGCTTTGACCGGGTTGTTCACCATCACGACAGTGGTTTTGGCGATCGCTGTTGTGTTCATCCTCGTTGCCCGCAACCGAAGAATCGTTTCGCCTGAGATGACTAATGCAGCCAAGTTTTCTCAGGACAACCTGTCCGAAACCTCATCTTCTGATCTCAGGGTTGACCGAAAGTATTCAAATGCGACTGTGTCAGAAACGATTTAATTGAGGTCGCAGCGCGTGAGCAAGCAGGTAAGCGGTATTCAGGTGTTCCCGGTCCACCACTTGGTAAAACCTACCTAGATTAAACATCGTCGGTACTTAGGTTCCACCGACTAACTACTTGGCACATCAGCCGGTCAGAAATTTGGACACGTATCCTATAACAGCCCAAATGTTCGGACTTATCGTGTTTAATTAATTAATTATTTAATTAATTAATTGAATAATTGAACTATTAAAGAATCATTCCGCGTTAAAGATCATCATCGTCATCACCATCATCCTCGTCACCATCTTCAGCAACATCAGTGTTGACAGTGATACTTCCCAGTTGTACAACCGCAAAGTTTATTTAATTACGTAAAACACTACTCATAAGGTTGCTGAAACCCCCTCGGTAGCCCACTATTGGTTTCGCCCTTCTTGGGGATCATCAAGTGGAAAATAAGTTTGAGGAGAACTCGGTGATGAGTGTTTAATTCAATCTGGGAAGAAACTTGCCTCACGGATAGTACGAACTTCAATTAGCTGCCACTTCATGCAATGTCTCCAGGCAAGCGTTGGAGAAATCACGTGGGCTCCGTCCTGTACCAACGACACCTAATCTATTTCAACTCTTCCTGCGCGGTCCCACAGTGCCAGCCTTCCAGTTTGCGTTATTCTGATGGATATCTTCTGGCTGCCTTCTGTGACTGAATACCTGCCGCACAACTGAATACACGAATTCTGCTTACATGGTTCGGCATTCTTTGACGTCACCTGACGCATTTGAGACAACGTTGATCGAAAACCTGAAGACGCCTCACATCGTTTGTCGGCACAGTTCTTGCATCGCAATGAATCCTAAATTGGTCCTTAATCAGGGGTCACTCCTCGTGGGAGGGGGATTTGGCGCCTTCCAAATTATAGTAATGAAATCGTTTTTCCGGGGCGTGTTTTCAACAATTTCCATTGAAGAAGCCTTGTTGAATGCAGTCAATAATAGTTGGTTACCTTGAAGAGCTCTCCCTTCAGCTATACCCACGAAATGAAATTCCAAAATCGTAGTCGATTAACGGATCTATTCACATCACATATGGAAGTTTAAATGAAGCGGAATATTTGTGCGCTGTTTGCTGATTGGTTACAATTAGCCAATCATAGCAATATGGCATCAGCTGTTCTTTGAAAACTATATAAATTCGAGCACTGATACTATTACCTCGACTGATCACGACAATTTGCTAGTGGTTTGTCAATCCCGACGAACAGGCCGACGCCCACCTGATCAGCCATCAAGGGAGGTTCGAATGACTAAGGTGGACTTTTCGCTAGTTCAAATGCCCACGTCTCAGTTTTCATTTGTTCGTATGTTAGGCAGAACAGCCAAACATCTATCTATCTATCTATCTATCTATCTAACTACCTATCTATCTATCTATCTATCTATCTATCTATCTATCTACCTATCTATTTATCTATCTATCTATCTTTCTATCTATCTATCTCTCTATGTAGCCATCTAGAACCGTTTGAGTCCCACTAAACATTTAGGAGACTGAAAGTGATAGGAAATGGCTCACCACGATGATTATTTTGGCCATCTTTGCCCACACGCTAAGGATTATTTTCTTAGGATTTTTTCTGATTTCCGTTTATAATTTCTACTCTAAAAACCTCACGTCCATATGCCGGTCATTTTTCGGTCGTCCTTAAACTACTCATTAGTAGTTCGGTTTTTCGCAATTTTTGGTGAACGGACTAAACAGGTTGGGGAAAACTGTACATCCTAGAGGCTACTGTCAGACTGCAGTGAAATAGGGAATCCATCTGCACATGAGTTACATGCAGGTCGAAAGAAGCACTTTCAAGTAGTCCGACAAGAGGCTTCGACAACGAGGAGGTAAGTTCGCGTCACAGACCTTCTGGTGAGTAGCCCTCGCCCAATCACCAATAAGAAAGTCCTTTCAAGGTAACTAAAGGCGGAACAGCATCCAGACTTTTTGTCAGAATGCAATAGCTCTATCAAGAAATACATTTATCTGTACGCTAATCTGGTTTCGATCGCTGACTCAGCTGAATCCCTGTTCACGCAGCTTCCTGCATTGCGGCCGCCAGGTGTTCTATTTGACACTTCGTCCTACCTCTCGCAGTAGATTTTATTCCAGGAACGCTATTCATCAGGTTGCTGAAAGCTTTTCGACAGTCCACAAATGGTTCTGCCCTTCACAGGCCACACCATGTTGACAAAGTTCTCCAGTTTTGTTCCACCTTTTGATTCAGCCTAAATACCAGGCGATCCAGCTGAATTCCAGCTCAATCCCTCGACGAGATTTTCTTCAGTTGGATGTCCTGCGCAAGACTTCTCGGTCGTTCAGTTGGCACGATTCTTGATGAACCGTTACAGAATTTCTCGGCAAAACCCACTTACAGCAGACTACGCATGTGTGAGGCAACCAGACATGGGGCAAATCGTTAGTCCGCTCTTGAAGAGTTTTCAGTCATTGCATTGACGTCAAACGCTTCGCTAAACGTTGCTGGAAACTCTTCGATAACTCATCTGCTCATCAGGTGGGATCAGTCTCCGATTTTCCGTCAACATTATGCCTTACTGCACCCCAAACAGCACGAAACGTGACAGGTCCACATATCCGTGTTCCACAGTCAAGACAGATTTTTAATTGGTTTACACCAACGGCCTTCCCGAGCACACCGTTCGGGCTGGTGCACCAATCGGTCACGTGGACGATGTCCTGCGTTCGAAATCTTGCTCATCAATATGGTCCAAACAACTAAAGAGTTTTCCGTCGGATAGTGGCTTCCACCGCTCGATTTCTCCTGATGGGTTTGTTGAAAAGAAACGAGTCAGCCTCATCTAACCGTCTATGCGGAGACAGATGATATCTGTTGAGCTATTTCTGTTCCACAGATACTACACGTAATGTTCATTTCACTCTACTGTCTAAATTTGCGGATAAAAATCGAACCATGCAATTGGACAAGGCTTCATTCCCATCGCTGAATCAACCATGATCTTCTATCCGGTATAAACATCCAACTACATCAGTCTCAGTACAGAGCACGGGTTTGCGTTTTCGTTTCGTTTCATTTTCGCAGGTTCCTGCCAGCTTGAATTCTCTTACTTTGGTTCCTTTGTTCCATTAGGTCTCCCATGGCTTCGAAGATTAGGGATTTGTCGATCGCTCGATCACGTGAACTGTCACTCAAGGGTAGCTCACCAACAAGTATTGTTTGTTGACTCCGTCATTGACATGCCTGTTTCAGTTTTGTTTCTCGCCAAATTGTTGACTTCCATTTCGGTGTTTACCATGCGTTTTAGATATAACCAATTTTTTTCCACGAACAGTTTTATGAATTCTGTCTTGCACCATTAGGTTCACCTTTTTCCGTCGGTCTAATAAGATTACTTCGCTTTAGTTCTTATAAAACTCGACTCGAATCAAATCGGATTGTAGCTCGGATTTTGTGAGGAAAGCAAAAGACCGACGGTTCTGAAAGCGTGCAATAAACTAGTGCAATGCGTCGTGTGCAATGCAGATCAGATTGACCAATCAGATTGCCGATGTTTGCTTAGTTGTGATTGGTGGTTGTGAACATCCCAGCTGACCAATAGACGCAGAAAGCGTGACTGTGAATTAACCAGAGAGCCAAGCACTGTCTCGTCAAGGTGACGAGAATCGCACTAGCTGGAATAAACGATACACCCTTTCAGAGTAAACTTCCTTAGGATTACACACACCAGTCGTGGGTCATAAACAAAATTCGTCCAGGTAGGCAGCCATTGTCATGACATGATGATGAGTTGGAAGCGGCCTTTTCAATTGGACGGGATGAGAAGGATATTAATAGCGAAGTTCGGAGGGAAAATGTTAGGTGTTTGACCATAACTCATCCCAAGGGTTTCGTGGATTCTGCACCATTTCCTAACAAAATTGAAAATTCATTTGACGAGGTAGTATTGAAAGCATTGGGTGTATGGGAGCCGAGAACTCAAGGAGTATTCACTGTCAGTATAAACACTTTCTGAACTTTCATCCGACCCCAAGATCAACACACTCCTTCGGCTAAGATTTGGACAAATTTGCTCCTGATATATTTCGGTGGTCTTGAAGACAAACGCCAAACATCCTAGAAGAATAATTACCGCACTACAAGACAGGTGTTTTTTTAATGGTGATTAATTACTGCGGGTTTTTGGGGCCAGTTTGTTCTACCTGTTCATCTTTGTTTATGGTGAATGGCAACAACAACTTCGCGTTGGTATAGCCGATTAAGAAACAACCGATTCGAACCCAAATTGCCCCGCTGAAGTGGACATCTAGGAACTTCATTGGCTGACGGCGATTTTGCTCCGACTGAGGGCGACAGCAAAGTAGCTGATTGAATTTATTGTCTGTTTTATAACAGATCCCACTAGAGATAATTTATCTGATCGTTCGTCGTTGGGACTTGAGGTTTCTTCGACTGGATGTGTGGTTTCCTCATTCCGTGTTACGCATACATCACATTCACCCCGAGTATTGAACGAAAGCGACGTAAAGCCACAGAATAGCTGCATTATGTATGTCTGAGTTGAAGCTGATCCTTACTTCTGCTAACGGAGATGTTCAGGTGGCAAACGGAATTTGAGATTGTATGCGAAGGTAGTGAAACTTTTACTGCGAAAGTCAGATTCGGTTGCATTCACATTATGAGTGCATTTCTTTTCGAACGATGAGTTTGGCCATTTGCTTTATATCAGTGAAACGCGCGTCGGTTCCGTTCGTGTACAGGTACGCACGCTCGAGATTCGTAGTTGGTTCACCATAAATGGAGGTTCTAAATTTAGCACCTTTGTGGTGTCCCGGATCAACTTTGCTGGGTGGAACAAACCTCAGTTTTGGTAAGGAAAGGGAGACACTAGGAAGGCTTAGTTTCAAATACATCGCTGTGCAACGGAGCTCTCTTCTGCGGTCGCAATCTAACCTGTGTTTTGGTATCGATTAGTTTAGGGATAGAAACGCAAATGAATTGAGGACTGTTCTAATACATATTGTCTTCATCTGTGACAGGAAAGTTGTGTTACAACATCCTGCCTTCAGTTCAACAATGTTGTTCAAACAACTGGGTTATGGTCTTTGCTGGAGTGCAGAGTGCATAGGAACTCAAGCATTTAATCTCAGATCCTGATTGAAGTTTCCGGAACTGTTCAGAAATTCATCGGCAAAGTCTGGGCACTGCAAACAATATGGATGAAGTTTGTTCTCCGTCTCACGCGCCCCCTCAAACTGTATGAGAAACGAGAACTCTTGGACCGCAGCGTCTTGTACACTTGAAAAAGCTGGACAATAAAAGTTGATTTCAGATGGACAAATCAGAAATCGGAGTGTGTTTGTGCAAAATGTGATCACGTGCTGATCACGTGCATTGAAAAATGGTCCATGCAGCGCAAACTGATGAGTGGTGTTCTGACGGTTCATACGCAGTGTTTGAGAGTTTGGAATCTTTGAACGGTACTCAGCGAACGGCTTTCACAGTCGGAGAGTGTGTTGAAAAAAAACTGGCAGATGTGTGTCACGTGAAGTCCGCTCGTGACAGTCAAACCGTTGAACTTTCTTTTATTCCATGTCACACTCACTGTGTAAGAAATGAGTTAGAATAAGCATGAATACGGATCACAATGGGTGGGGTTTATTAATACCTAAGTTGTCCTCAGATGAAATAGAATATAGAGATGGCAACCGTGGACGAACACAGAAAAGAAGAAATTAGTGCGGGAAGCATTACTTTTGATGGCCTATCAAACTAGCAGGATAAAGAATTCACGTCAAAAGTTCACATGAGGTAAGCGAACGTTGATTCGAATGTGCTTAGTCTGATGTGATAAGTGGAGTGGACCGAACTGAACAGTTGCCTTCCTCTGCTGACGCAAATATTTTGTTTGATCCACACTGACACCCAACACTGCTTTCCCAAAATGTTTCTTTCGAAGTATTTTTCCCTATTTCGCGGTGTGATAATTTGCAAGTCGATATCGTTAAGGCTACACAGATAGAAACGAGATTCTCCCTCACGGTGAATCGCTGAATGTTCGCATTTTCCAGAAAGCTCTTCGGCAAACATTGAACCATGGTTAGCTATCATTTCTCAGCCCGCGTCTGTTCTACGTGGACGAAACCGTGACAGCGCGGAACACTGCATTTTCCAAAACGGTTATTGGCTGAATAACTGACCAATCACCGCCACTGTATTGTGTGCAAGTAAGATTCCGCCTCTTTTCTACGTGGACGAAACCGTGACAGCGCGGAACACTGCATTTTCCAAAACGGTTATTGGCTGAATAACTGACCAATCACCGCCACTGTATTGTGTGCAAGTAAGATTGAAAAGGGGTTCAACTAATTCAGTTATCAAAGCATGGACTTACTTACAGAAAAGTCCTTGGTTCGAACTTAACTCTGAGCGACTCGACTGTGCCTGTCTAGGCTTGTGCAATCTGACAGTATGTTTGCCCTGATGCCTTCTTTGGGTGGCTAGATACCGAGCAGGTATTCGAGTTGAACGAGCATTACTGTTCTGCTCACGCTGACCTACATCTGAAGTTTCCGAACTTATTGTCGCGTGAGTTTAGACTGGGAAACGAGGAACTATAGATCGGGGTGTGAACGAGCTGGATCGTGAACGCTTCAAACTCCAGTTTACCACTGATCCATACTGGTTTCGTTACTGGCACTCTGCAGCAGAAATGACATTTTCAACTTTTTCCCTTCTTCCGTTGACCAAAGGACAGATGTTTCACAGTTTTACTTTCAAATCAGCCAACAACATTACAATTCAGCGAAAAGTCGATAAGTCATGGAGATTTTGATTTTGTTTACCTCCACAGAAGTCGTGTTATTTTCCCGAAATTCGACAAACTTTATCCAAGGGTCAGGTTGAATTCCTACCCTCGGTATAACTCCCATCTACCTAGAACTGGATTGGGTAATGCAGTTTGGCTCTGCGAGTCACCAGGATGACTTTTCATTCTATCAGTGGAACCCCGAAAGCCCGCTCTCCCACCCCAGTTGTAAGTGAAAGCCACCAATCACAAGCGGCGCTTCGACTGGTGAGTCTGATTCGGTCTCGACAACTGCGCTGGTAAGTGTGCGCACAGCGCTAGATCATCGTTCCACCGCAGTCCAGCTAACTAAATAAAATCCCCGAGACCATCGTGCTTACCGCACCCGTCAGATCGCTCAAATCAATGGTGCATAAATCAAATCCCCACACCCGTCAGATCGCTCAAATCAATGGTGCCCGTGCGCTTTCATATTCGAGCCATCGCCTGCCTGCCCAAGGAGACATCGGCTTTGTCCTTGGTACTTGTGCAGACACGTTCGTGTACACATTCGCGCGTAGTGGGTAACCGAAAAACTGAGCGAGCGTTTTCAAGTCACAACAGAGCTACAATGCGAGAAGCTCAAACAAACTCATTGAAGGACAGAGAAGTCTAGAATCTTCTGGAAAGTTGTGAGCATATTTCTATGTTTCCACAAACACTGAGCGACAATCTTGATTCGTCGCGAATTTTTCCATCAGAATTTGACGATTTTTTGCGGATCTTATAGACATTGTCCGCGTTGACAAGCGCTGACTTGAACACGTTAAAAAGAAACCGATATCTCTGGTTTTCCCCGATACGCGTCTGTCTGCAGCTTATACAGGGACTTTTGCGACAAGTACAGAACACGAAAAGAAAATCGATCGATCGATTGTAGTTCTGCTCAATGAGGCGAGCTCAGGTGATGCTGTATTGGTGCAGGAAACTAAACGTTTCTACCAGACTATCTGTCACAAAGCGTACTTGCAGAAAACCACTGTGGCATGGAACTGTAGCACACTTCGATCAGGGCCCATCTCTTCATTGCTTCTTGGCTGGACATCAAGGCGGTCATGACATGTTCGGTGTGTTAGAATCGCTTCACCTCTACCCAGTAACAATCCGCACCACATTCAGTGAAAGTTTGGGCCAATAAAGTACGAGAAGCGTAAAATTACCGTAAACATCGATTTTATTGCCACTGTTCCTCTTTATGAGTAAGGTTTACTCACGGTTTGACGAGATTTTGAAATTGTAGTGGCGATTTTGTCCAGTTATTGAAGACAACCGATTCTGAACTGCTTAAAAGCATTGTATCTTTTTTTCGGAATTACGCAACACATATCAGGATCGAACCAATAAAATTCCATCTAAGACAAATGCTAATAGCCAATCAGGTTACAGAGTAAAGCTGATCTTTGCAATCTATTTAAGCACAGGCACAAAGTGAAGAATTAATCACCCAGCAGTGCAGTGATGATGTCTGGTCGAATGGTGACGGAACGTCTGCGAGTCAATCGCCAAGACTGGTGAGCAGATCAACAGCTATCTGGTCGTTTACCAAAGAATGCACCCGAGCGAGCAATATCCCAGCATATCCACTTGTTTGCTTGGAAATTGAAAACACTAGGAATAAAATCTCGTCTCCTGTATTAATTACTCATAGCAATGTTTCAGTAGTATCACGTTGTGTTCAACACATAGGTCGCCATTGGACATAAGTAAAACTCAAGTTGGCTTGAACCAAACTCAAACACCACCCATTGCTGACTGCACACACTCATGGCTCAGAAAGGCTTGGACTCACCTCAGCTGATCCGATTCACTTGTACTCTGTAAGATTTCCCTCGAATCAGATTCCGGAAGTGTATGATAGATTCGAAAATGGATCGGTTCCTTTTTGTCGGTGTCAGGTGAATCATTCGCATCGTGTAAATTCAAGGCTAAATTCACGCTCCCGTGTGTTCGATAGAAGCGCAGCCGGAATGCGAAAGTGATGATCAGGATTAGGGAAATTATTCCGCAAACGACCGCCAAGATTGACATCAGGTAGGGGACTTTATGACGAAGGTCCAGGATATTTTCTTTGAAGAATTTCACGGGTGCCAGAGGTGTAACAATTTCCTGTGGTTCAATCAAGGGTTAGAAACGTGGTGATTAAAATGTGCCAAACTCATAAAAGTTGGATAAACACCAAATCGCTACGGTTGCTATGGTCACTTAGGTTTACAAAAGTGCACTCCGAATAACAGAGTAACATGGAGGCGAGATCGTTTTGGTTTGAGCGCGAATTCACTGGCTGGAAGGTTCATGGTTCGAACCCTACCTCTGCAACTCTACTTCTCCAGTCTAGGCTTGAGAAACTTGGCAGTATCCCAGCCCTCATACTTCTTCTGCTGGCAGCAGGGAGCACCCATTCGACATGATATAATCATCCAGGGAGTTTGCCATCACTAAAAGCATGAATAATGCTATCAGAAGACGCGTAAATAGGTTGTATTGCGGTGCTCAAACCAATGGTGCTCTGTTTCACGCATTTGAACACCTGGTTATGTTGTTCATAACATTGTGTAAGATTAAGCACCGCTTCTCCATCACACTTTGCATTATTCACTACTCCGAAAGCAATTTCTTTATATCGGCCATTTTAAAACTAATCATCGCTCTACTATGAGTATTTCATTCACTTGCGGTTTTCTCTACTCACAGAAAGGCACTTTACTACACCTGTTCGTGTGTTCTGCACGATCACCCACAGTAACTCGAGCACATTTCTCGTTTGCTTAGTGTGCAACAGATGGTCCAATCAGAAAGGTGATGTTTGCGGCGAAATACACTCAGATGCAAACTATTTGGTTTTTCGAGAGACTCACCTGGAACCCAGCTGAATACCTCGTTTGTGATGTTTCCAGGCGTCTGAATGTGCTGCACCAGGCCGCCTCATATTTCAATCGCTACGATATTTGAGATATCGCGATACTTATAAGTTGCTGGAAATTCGTTGACAGCCCACGTGCAGTTTTGTCCTTCTTGGAGCTCATCCTGTAGGCGTAGTCCCCGAGTTTCCGTCAACCTTATGTTCTACTTGAAACATCACAAACGAGAGATTCAGCTGGGTTCTGGGTGAGTCTCTCCAAAAGCCAAATCAGTTTGCAAATGAGTGTATTTCGATAATTTCGAGCAATTCGGTTTCAAGTAGAACATAAGGTTGACAGAAACTCGGGGGCTGCGTCTACCTGATGAGCTCCAAGAAGGGCGATCCGGTCGTGTGATGTTTTCCGTTTAACTTGGTGGTCACACGACACCACGTGCCCGAAAAATTTACCCAACGGTTTCGTTCGTGCAGACGTAAAGAATGAATAAAGAAAATTTAAAATTCGAACACCGGTGTGGTTAGTTGATACATGATATTTGTGCATATGTGGTGTTCAAAGCTTTTGTACGATAAAGGATCCTGGCTCATGAGCATTTGGTGGCAACTTCGAAGGGTACTTTCATATCAGCATGGTAACTGGAGTGTGAAAAGCACCCAGTGATCGATGAAGGCGAGTTAAGCTTCAGAGTGCCCCGATTTATCTAGTTAACTAAATCATGCAGCTGACACAGCATTGCTCACCGCCCTCCTGAACTACATTGGTCGGTCCGCGACGTCACTGGCCCGGACATGCCACGCGTACGCACTCGTCCAATCCCGTCACAGCGATCCGCATGCCCGCGGTCACGAACGCACGCAGGCATCCAATCAAGGACTCACGCAAACACGGACGCACGCACAGATCCACCAACCGTTTGGTCAAACTTGTTCGGTTGTGCCGTTTAAAATCGGCTGTACTGATTCACCAAATATGCATTACCAGAAAGTAAATACGACAGGTCGCTTTTCTTACCAGTTCTACCCATGCGAGGGGAAAGTAGTACGGACCGGACATGTTCCCATATCTCCTGAATAAGAAGGGGGAAGAAACAATGATAAATTTCGAACGATAGAACATCGTTGACGAGACAGTCATTTGGAAACAAATTTGGTTTCTCGAGAGATTCAGCTGCGTTTCAGGTGAGTATCTAGAAGAACCAAATCTGTTTGCATCTCGCTTCTTTCGTGCAAACTGGATTCAAGTAGAACATAAGCTTGACAAAAACTCTGGTACTGCGCTTACCTTATGAACTCCAAGGAGAGCGAAACCGGACTTGGGCTATCGAAGAATTTTCAGCAACATTATGAGTAGTCTATTATTTAGGTGGATAGGAATGACACAAAGATCGTCCGTTTGGATTCACCTTTTCCATCCCAGTTTGATCTAATCAATATGTTACACAAAGCGTTCTAAAAGAAGCACGAAAATAAACGCCATAGTATGCAAGGGTTTTGTCTTCAAACCGCCGCATATTATGCTGAATCTAGGCCTCATTTATGTAAGTTGTATCGGTATTTTTCAGACTTTCTTGAGATGTTTCACCCTGGAAACGTTCTGGACAATCCGGAGCTTAACCACGTTCTTTCCTGTTTACTCTTCGCGGAAAAATTGAAGGAGAGAGCTGTTGTATGCGACGATCTGGAGTAATGAACACAAATCGCGCAAAAATGGGTGCATAGCCTTTTTCGTAATAGCCAATCCTTCCGCAGTTTAAAAAGATGCCGTACTCGCTCAGATTTGGGTTTCACATGAGTGAAATTACCTATTTGTAACTTTAAAACTAGGGGACTTTCTGAGTCCCCAAGATACTGTTGTCTGTTCCATGAGAAAGCAACCGTCTCCAACCGGATGTCTTCCAGATGTGATAAACTTGGGCGAAATCGCCAAAAACGTCGAAGTTTAAGACACCGCTAATTCTAGCTTATTCTGCAGGTAAAATATCCCGGTTGTGGCATAATTGCGTGTCAGCTGTTCCACCCGGGATTGTGCTTCCCAAATCTTCATGTCGCCACACAATCACTTTCGTTCACACTTAGCTTCATCATCTATGCATGGGTGGATTGTACTTTTCATTGCTGGTTACCATTTTCGGGATGTTACCTTTGGACTGCGCGTCCCAAGCTCTGTGTTGTGCAACCAGTGGGTTTCAGCTGAAAAACCCAATGGCTCAATGAACCAATCATCTGGCTACTCATGAGTAGTCAGAATTTTGTGACCGACAATTGTGGTGCTGGCCAGGTTACTGGTCCTGCGTCACGTGACTTCCGACGAGGTATGCTCGTAGCTTTGCAGTTATCAATTCCACTCCGACGATAGACCAGTGGTCCGATACAACCCTGGCTATTCTCGGAGGTGGTCTAGATTAGTCAAAGTCGGGTTGTCGAGTAGTGGTAATCAAATTCAAATCCAAAATTGAAACGAAGAAACAAACGTTAGTGGAAGTTGATCTTTTCTGGGCACTATCCTAGACTAATTCATTCACAAGCATCATCAACTTTATTTCCCACATCTGAGCGGTTAACTAGTGCTCAAAAGGTGGTGAGATGAGGTAAGGAAAGGGTTCAAACACAACATTAAAATAAATTCGACAAATACACTCATGTGCGTACCAATCTGTATCTCACTCGCCTTAGTCTCAGATGAATTTCTTGCCTATAATGCTCCCGTTCAACTAAATGTGCCGCACAAAACCCCTATTTTTCAAACGGCAAGATATCGCATTTCATTATGTAGACATTACACACTACTAATAGGGTTGCTGAATACTCTTCAACAACCCGGTTTTGCCGCCCTAGCACGTCTCCCTGGAAGACCAAATTGATATGCAGATGAGTGCACTTGCTGAATTTTGAATAGAACATAAGGTTAACGGAACCTCGAGGACTGTGTCTATCTGGCAAGCCCCAAGGTGTATAAAGCCAGCTTAGTCCCAGGAAGACCTCCCATTTGATATATATTTTTCAAATGGGTTTCCTGTACTAAACCCACCGTCACGCTCAGTAGGTATCATAGTACGTTTTTGTCTTCACGTAACACACTACTCATGAGGTTGCTGAAAATTCATAGATAACCCACTGCCATCAGGTAAACGTAAAACAAATTATATGCAGATGACTTGCAATTCTGTTTGATAACAAGTAAGTAATTCAGCCCATCAAGTTCATTTTGTTTGCAAATCAGCCCGGTGCATCCTTCGGGTGGCACAGTAGCCAGACACAGTAGCCAGTTATGACTGGACGATAAATCGCATACCAATTTGGTTTTGACGGGAGACTCACCTTGGACCAAGCTGAATCTCTCGTTTATAATGCCTTTAAGCAACTGAATATGCTGCACCGGACACTTCACGTTTCCGTATGTACGATAAACAAGTGCGTCACAACTGGATAGGAAAATTGTCCAATCATGTGAGAGAGAACAGATATGCGCGTGCGCGCGTATCCAATTACCATATATCTGTTACCTGATTGGTCATTGTGTGGACCAACACAAGGCGTGCATATTTTGGAATGATTAGGGTGAGACGCTCCAGAGATAACAAGTTCAAACTGAGGAAATGTGCATGATTCTATCCAACACGTAGAGATGAATGTGTGAACTTTTGGGAATACCAAAATTTTATAAATATTTTGCAATAAAAATAACAGACTTACACCTTACCAGGACAACTAACTATGACATATCGAGCAGCAGCATGAGGTGACCGTGCTGCCGTGGCAACCGCACAGGTGGTAAGTACACTTGAGCATATTTCGCGCCCAAATTCAACTATTTTCTTCACTATATTATCCAGAAAATTCGCTCAGTCACGTGTTTATCGATGAGGTCTGTTGAAACGCGGCCTCCTTATTTTAGAATCAATTACGGCAATGCCCAGTTCTAAGTCCACCTGCAACACGTATCCACGAAGTTTACACCTGGAAGTGGGATCTTGTTTGAAAACTGTATGTTCTAAGAAACAGGTTTCGTGATTAATTCAGGCATTGTATTCGACGAGTAACAGTTCCAACTTACTCGTGTGTATTGGCCATAAATAAATTGAGCTGGAAACGCAAATACGCCTCAAGTGTCACTCCGGTAGTCTTGGGTGAGAGAGGGGAGTGGGATGATAGAAAGGTGACTGAATGGGAGAAATACTAGCATTGATAATTGAAAGCAAACTATCACAGATCATAACGAAACAGTACATCCGAACATTACGCCCCATATTCCCGAAATCACAGCGGAACTTCGAGTCACTGTCATCGTATCCTCACTACTCAGGGTGTATCACCACTTGCGGTCCGTTATACAGTGCAGGATTAGGTTGTCCCACGCTGTCACGTGAACTTCTGATTTCGGTATCATTATTGCTAACCACATATGTTGCCATATGAACTTTGCTTTTGGACAGTCAAGGACACCACACTCACCTATACAATGAACAACATAACTCTGATGGTCCTCAAGTTTTTCACGCAAAATGTACACATTACACGACACATATGATGCTGGTCAGCTTTCGAACCAATGCCAGTGGACATTCTTCCGACGGGCCTAGTGAAGTTAATTGATGCCTTTCAAGGACCAGGAGTGTACGAATTAAAGCAAGTCCAGATTCAACAAGTGGATGTACTGAACACAGAGTATTCAACCAGGTTCAGGCTGTTGCAGTCGTATAGTGAGGGCGGCATGTATGCACAGGTGACCTGCTTCTAAAAAAAGAGAGCAGCTTTCTCTAAACAGTATTACAGCTCTCCTGCAAATCGCATGGCGCGTTGGGTTTAATTATCAGTGTGATGAGTAAAGTTCCGCACTGATACAGCTTTACCGCTCGCATTAGGGCGCTGCTAAATCGAAAAGGCACGCGATTGGTCAGAAAATCGGTTCACTCGCTAGTTCAGCATCAAAGCGAGCTCTGATTGGCTGAAAGTGTGGACCAACAGCCAATCGTGATCCAGTATTCGCCGACTGCCGGGATTAGGAAAGTTTCAACTTAACGTACGTCAAAAATCTTACGTTGGACGGCCAAAAGGGGAGGTATCAGGTAGGTCATATTCGTGAAAGTAATCTCAGGACGCCCGGAGGCTACTGAGGCCCTAAAATACCACCAAAATCTCGATAGGAAAGCCGGCAGGCATCCAGCCATTCAAGCATTCACTCAATTCAGCAAGAGCCGATGAGTGTTCATGCACACCACAGAAGCACGACCGAATGTGATCACCATTCAGGCATTTGATAGAGGCTCGATCGATGTTGATGCGTCTTTACTAACGCCTATCAGACAGTCTGGATCAATGTCAGAAAGTTCACTTTAAATAGCGTGGAGACGTTGTAACTTTTGTCGTCGCTCTCGCACGCACTCATTCGTTTGTTCAAAATATAGCTGTTTTGTTCCCCTCTGTGAGTCTTTTTCCCGGCACTAGGAACTGGAGCCTGTCAGTAGCAGATTCCACAGATTTCCGAATCCACGAAGACCGCCTTCAGAAGGCTCCACTCACAAAAGAAACCTTCCTACTTCGTCTGGACCACGAAAGTGCTATTAAGGACTTGCTGACGGGTAAATAGCATCAAATCTACCTCCCATTGGACGCGACAAAATTACATTCAGCTACACGGTAAGATAGCGAATCCACGAAGACCGCCTGCAGAAGACTCAACCCACAAAACAAACCGTCCTACTTCGTCTGGACCACAAAAGTGCCATTAAGGACTTGCTGGCAGGTAAATAGCATCAAATGGACCTACCATTGGACGCGGCAAAATTACATTCAGCTACACGGTAAGATACTACTAACACATTTCATCATTAGAGTACACTGGAAGCTCGGGTAAGTTAAACGTCTGTTGATCCGAGCTTGGGAAGTGACTTGCAAAAACGTTGTCACAATAAGAGGCAGCATCGTCTCTACATCCCCTGGGGATGTCTCCACGTATGATGGGGAATAATTGGTAAGCTGATTGCCGGTTTTTGCGAGCAGATCAACGGCTACCTGAGCAAGAGCCAAATACGGATTTATTCCATGACCGTTTCCAACAACGTTAAAGTGGTGAGAACTCGTCGGTTACAGGTATTCGTCATAACTCTTCGACGGTCCAAGACCGATTTCGCACTTCTCAATAGGCTGACGATATCCTGCGAGTGTCGTTCAGCCTCGCATTCTGCCAGAACCCGAATCGGACGAGTTTTGGGAGTGGCTGTCATGTAAGTTCGACAGAAGACGCAAAGATACCTTGCTGAATTTCCCGTTTCGTTCGCTCCGAATGAATTCACAACACTGTTCACACTCGTCCTTGGAAATTGGTCAAAGGTAAGTTAGCCGACCCTGTTGAGAATTTCGACTCCAATAATCGGGTGTATATGTGACAAGATCCTTGGGAAGTCCAAACTAAGGTAGCATGAACGAAAATAGACGCCTGAGGATAGATAGGAACTGCTAAACTGCCGTTTGCTGGATGACCGACCAACCGACTCGCTCCTTGTCACGCTTGTGCACAGTTGATCTGCCGCACTCTTTTGAGTCGGCATTTCAAGATCTTCCAAACGCCTACCCGCCTTTAAACAGCTGATCACACAGCTCTTTTGAAGTCATCTCTCAGATACATTCCAAAGTGCGTCGATTGAGAAACTGTTTGAGTTTTGAATGCGTAGCACCACTGAATAAGATTGATTCAAGGAGAAACGTACGAATTATTTCGAGTCGTTGAACATAGCCTGAGAACATCACAAACGAGAGATTCAACTGGGTTTCAAGTGAATCTCTCTAAAAACTAAATTAGTTTGCAAATGAGTGTATATTCGCTAATTTCGTGAAATTTTGTTTCAAGTGGAACATAAGGTTGACGAAAGCTCGGGGACTGCGCCTATCTGATGAGTCCCAAAAAGGGCGAAACTCGGCGTGGGCTGTCGATGGATTTTCAGCAACCTTACGAGTAGTGCCTTAAATAGCTGTAGGTAGTTGCGAAATTTGTGTAATCTACGTTCACATCACTCTGTTTTGAATAGTCCTCGCCATGACGCTGGGCAATCATTTTGGGGACCCCACGAAAACTGAGGGACTCACTGGACTCGAAGTTCCGTTTTATAAGGGCAGATCCCTCAGCAGGCGTTTGAACTCTGAAAATACTTGACAAGAGAGGCCACTACTATATCAGAGCACGTGAATACACTTGACACACCAAGTCTAAATAGGTGAGCGAGCTGACGTTTGAGTGGCCTGATTGGCTAGTTGGATGCTACCCAAAATGGCTCAGTATCTATCCTGCTAATGTCGAGGAAATGACTCGACTCTTCACTTTGGGATGCTTGACGCACTTTTTGATCAATTCCCCCCCTGAATAAAATCACTTACAGAAGCTGTCATCCTCTGAGGTGCTTTTAAAATGATCAATCTATGAATTGGCATGTGCTAGCAACTAATTTAGTACCGCCCCCTCACATGGAACAGCGATCACAAAAGGACCAATCATATTCCAAGTTTGATGATTATGGTCGACCAATCAGGTTGGAGACTGATTGACAGCACGCTGCTTCTGCGTGCTATATGAGAGCAATCACGAAGAAAGCTACTATGAATCCAGCAGCATTCAAGATGCCGCCCGAAATGATGACAAAACATCTGGATACCAATCGATATGACCGAAGAACACCTTACCGGTCGTATGACTAACTACCCAAGCTTTGTTTCACAAACTTACTGGGTTTCTGAACACAACCGAGGACTCACCGGTTCAGCTAACAAGTAAATTCTATGCTTATTCCTATCTGCTTTCGGCACTCCGTCTATTCTTCCGGTTACACGCGTATCTGCATCCATAAAATAGGGAAATGACAAGTAGAGCGGAATGGAGTAACCGCTCTCGGCATAGCATGGTTCCAACGTCATGAAACCTTTCGGCGTGCAAGCTCCGGTCGTTTTGCAGTACATTCGGTTCACCCAATTTTCTGTAGCATCCAACTCGTCGGCTTCTGGTGCGGTGAACTTCATCAACTGGAACGAACAAGATGAAGGTGTGGTGAGTGGAACTTGACGGGGTTCCAATCGCCAACCAATAGTCAACGATTTTAAATTTCATAGGGGCTAAAAGTCACGGAAAACAAACAATGTGATTGATCAATATGCAGACGGATATGCATCCCAATTCATGTGACACAGTGAGTATTACTCACCATAAAAATGTTGTAGAAATGCCAGGCTACTGTACGCCATGAAAATAGGAGTGATTTGTCACGTGTCTGTTACCAAGGTAAAGGAATTTTTCCGTATTTCACCAGTGTTTTCAAAAAAAGCTACCGAAATCCCCAAACTTTCTCACAACTTGTAAATAAGCTTGCCGTCCTCAGCCGAAACGAATTTCAAACGAGAACCAACAGGTGAGACATCTTAAATTGGTTCCATTCTTCTCGGCTTTTCACTTACTTTTCGATACCTCCACCAAAATTCCCAAATCTATCCATACTACTAACAATTTACAAGTAGCTCGGAGGAAGAATAAAATTCGCACTCCCATGTAAGAAGCCGTTGGGTTGTGAGCGGTGACTCGTGTGGTTCCCCGTCTAAGCGAAACTCAATCAAACTGCTGGCCAGGTCGGAAGGCTTCCTCACACTACCATGAATTATCGCGCAGTAGTACAAGGGGCATTATTCTGAGGTCAGTCCGAAGAACGATCTCTCCTCAGATGACAATTTATTCGAATAAAAAAGATCTGCATTGTGACTGAGAGACATTAAATAACTGCCATATATCAATATTTATCAGATCAATGGTATGTTCTAGGCGGTTTTAAGTGTTTATGAACCTTCCGAATTGTTATGACTCTTGCGAGTGGACACGCAGGCAGTGATTCTATTCTAAGTTTTGGTAGAGCTTCTACAAGGGCTGGAATAGGATTAATCGATTGCGTCTGCTCTTTGTGAACACCAGTCAAGTCGAAACGCTGGTCGAACCTTGTCGACACTGTTCATTGGTTTCAAAGTCCACCAGAGATTGTGAACACCGTTCTTGTCCGGTCGAGGGTACATACACGGACTATGTAGGTCCCATGAACGGTCAAATTTTTCTCATTATCATGGTTGTAAGTGGCCAGATATTTCTCCCACGAGGGCAAGTAACCATTAACAAGTTTCAGAATACCTTCAGTCGTTTCAATTATCCTGAAAAGCTCGTATCTGACAACGGGACACAGTTCACGTTATCCCGATTCGCGGGCTTCTGTCTTGCCAGTGAGAATGAACACGTTAGACTGCCACATATCATCCACAATCAAACGGCACGGGAGAAAGACTTGTGGATACTTTCAAAAAAGCTTCGTTGAAGGTGGAATGAAAGGGAGGGCAGCAAACATCCAACAGCAATTACTCTTTACGTACCGCCTGACTCCGAAAAGCTCGGATCTGACAACGGGACACAGTTCACGTTATCCCGATTCGCGGGCTTCTGTCTTGCCAGTGAGAATGAACACGTTAGACTGCCACATATCATCCACAATCAAACGGCACGGGAGAAAGACTTGTGGATACTTTCAAAAAAGCTTCGTTGAAGGTGGAATGAAAGGGAGGGCAGCAAACATCCAACAGCAATTACTCTTTACGTACCGCCTGACTCCAAATTTATCCACACCGGAGGGGAAATCACCTGCAGAGACACTACTCAACTGCGTTCCTTGAAGCTCCCTTGATCTTCTGAAGCCTCCGAAGAAGGAGGTGGCATTATCAAATCAGAAAATGGATTCTTACTACTATAATCACAAGCACGGTGCAAAATGGCGACTTGATGACATCGGACAGACCGCGTTAGTAAAGGACTAATGTGGTAGTCGCGTATCCTGGTGTCAAGGGGAAATCACTCGGCGAATCTGAAACGTCATCTATGATGTTCGCGTGGGTTCGTCATGCCACTTAGTTAAAAGAAGCTTATTCACAAGCCACCCAGAGACTGAACGCGTTGCCTCTGAATGTTTGGATAGAACACCTGAACATCAACAGAGGAAGGATAACCGACACTTAGGTTGCGGAGCGGCTGCAAGAAGCGCTTGTGTATCAACAATCACGAAGAAGAATGCCCGTCACAAAGACTCAAGTTAATCCGAGACAGAACAATTCAGCTTGGGTATTAAGAAAACCGGCTCCGAACGTAACTGGACTACATAACAGCCAATGAAATAACCGTTTTTCGTTGAAACAGGTCTCAATGGTTGTTCTTCACTTGTCCTTGACAGATGAGTTGTATTCTTAGTATCACTTTCGACCGCCCGCACGCGACAGTGATCAATAGAGCAGCTGGCTCGCACGTTCGTTTATTTTTGTGGTTTGACCATGCGCATCAGACTATCATTCAGCTATCCAGACTCGGATTCACGGTATCAAGAGGGCATTAAAAAACAGTGGTTCACAACTAAAACTATGTTGAATATTATCAGGTTCTTGTTATTAATCCAAAGGTTAAACATGCCACATTGGCCGGTACTGATTTCCCTCAATGTTTATTAAGGAATTACACGGCACATGCTACTTGTAAGTAGTACGGTAAAACTGATCAAATTCACGGATACTAATGATGATAAGATGATTGCTCATCTGAGCAACATTTGAGTGCTTAGCTGCCGCCCTACTCGCAAGAAGCGCGTGGTATTTTCATGTTGACCTAGCCTAGACAGGAGCAGTCAGGATTCTCGGGTTGGGTTCGAACTAAGGACCTTCCGGTTGGTGATTGCATACAGTAACCAGTAAGCTATCTCCTGTACCGCCATTTCCCGACTCCAAAAATACCAAGCAGTCAACCGAGGTTTCTTCACAAGGAACTGACCGTGAAACCAGGTAAAATGCTGCTTTGTGCTGTTTCCGTCGCGGTGAGCGTTACTGATCTGCACAAATCGGGTAAGTACATTGGCACACGGGCACCCAATTGAATGGAGGGTGGTAGACGAACGCCTTCTACAATTGAAGATGTGTAATATTGAAAAAACGAAATCGAGCATGTTTCACACATGTGATGAGAAAGTTAAGAGTGAAAATCTGCCTAGGGTTTCTCAACAGGAGAAACCATGGAATTCAGACTTGTTCTGGTTGGTTAGTTGAGGCATATTTCTCGAAACGTCCATCTAACGAATTTATGGTTTGCTAATCATTATCGTCATCACCATCATCAGAGACAGCAACATCACTGACGCTTCACTGCCGTACAACCATGAAGTTCGTCCAATTATATTCAAAGCCCTAGAGTTAAAAGAAGAGAGGTGAGGGAGGGGACCTAGTGCTGGCCTATGTCAATCATTCTAAGGTACCTACACCTCCTACAGTTCAATCAGACAGTCTGGAAAAAAACTGATGGCACGAACGCTACTGACATCGATTAACCGCCATTTCTTGTAACGTCTCCAGTCGAACATAGACGGGGTCACGGGGACCCCATCCTGGAAGGCGTACAAGACCAACAACACCCAAACTCTTCCTGGAAGTGACCGGCAGGTGGACAGTGTATCACCTGACAATGAATTACGACAACGCTAACCGCTAAACTTTATCAGGCGGGCAACTACCGCCTCTCTGGATAAGGGCCCCTGGACTAAGGTCATCAGTGGTTAATGACATTGGCGGAAATAGCCCAATCACACAGTCAGTGGCACGCTTTCATCAAAGCTATCGCCTCCAGTGCGTAGCCACCCAATTTCCGGACAAACTGAGCATGAGTTCGCCCCCAAGGTTTGGTTGTATGACCCACGCACTCGTTTCCCCATTTATCGAAACTGTAGAACCTGAAAAGTGCCCACGGTTTATAGCTGATGAACTGAACTGATTGATTGAACCTCTTCGTGATCACATTCACGCCTTTCTGCCAAGTCCGGGTGTGAGACGCTCAGTTTTAGATCTTTGTTCACGAGAGTTTAGCGTCCAAATATCCAAGAAAGTGTTCGTCTTTTCGCCGTGCTTGCAAGCATTTCCCCACCAACCGTGGGGACATCTTCGGCATGCGTATTGGTGATGATTCGTGAAGAAACGTCTGCAAGCAGTTGTCAGGGTTGGTGAACAAATTACCGATAAATGCACTGGAGCTATCAAATGACCTTGACAGACAGTGTGTGTCAATAGGCAAGTAGAGACAGATACCGAATTACACTGAAATACCTATTTTTTTACATAAGAACAGGGAATTTCTAAGAACTGTGAACTGGAAGGCAGTTGTGATTCCCAGCGTGCTATCCTGAAGTGATGATCGTGTACCGAGGACCGTGAATGTACCCTCGTATTACCATGTTGTGTGATTATTAGGCTATTTGATCATCCTGATAACGTATTTGAACAGTTGTATTTCTGCACTTTTTGTGGCCTCTGATGCGTTTTGTGTCTCTTGTGTTTTGGAAACCAAAAGCTTCGACTACTTAAGAGTCAAATCTGACAGAAAAGCGCAGATGTTTTTATTCGTCTTCAGTATAAACCCATAAAAATTTGCTCTGGTATGTTGTACGAGGTTTGTGGTGAAAACCTCGTTTTACCGGGGTTTCACCCAAAGAACGTGATAGGCGAGTTATTCATCAACGTCTTCGGATAACTACTTATTGTCACAATGCATCTGACAGCCCTACAATGTCTGATTCACCGTTCATCTGAAAGCACCAATCACAAGCTTGAAACCCACAGCATGACCTTGGAACATTATTGGTTAAATCCGTGCGAAACACCATATGGCCTACGACGAGCGACACGATTTGTAGGAATTCTGAGGGTTATTTATCATGAATTCAGTGAACAGATGTCTTGAGTGGTGTGCTAAAATTGTGAGTATTGTGGGCTTGAATGAAGTGGCAATGTAACATCTCCCCGCGGTACCAGACACTCGTCATAATAAACTTCAAACATGCCGCAAGATATTTGTCAACCCGGTAATTTCTTAATACTCGGCGGCCGTGTATTGCAGAAAACTTTCTGATAAATTATTTCAGGTATTTTCTGGAACTTTCCTTTTATTCGACTAGAAGTTACATGTTTGGCAGTTGCAACATTAAAGGGAAAAAGAGTCGTGCACTTTGAGTATGCCTATATCAAGAATGCACCCGTCTGATCCATCCGGTGGGTAACAGAACATGTGCACTTTAACCGGCCCGTCCGTAAACCCAGACAAGACAAAACACTCATCCTAACATCTAAGTGAAGAGGAACAGCAAATATTCTGAGATAAATTACGCTTCCATTCGGAGTACGATCCCCTAAATCTTAACCTGGGAACCTGAGAACACATTCGCCCGTTCAGACGTGAGAATCCAGATACATCCAACGTGCGCTGGTGGAGTAGTGGTAATATGTTCGCCTCGCATGTCAGGTGTCCGGAGTTCGAATCCCGACAAGGCCATTGGATATGCACTCCTGGTGAAGTCTAACAAGAGCGAAACTCGAGTCCAGTGCTTCCCCACCTTTGGTGTGAATTCACATGAATAATTGCGCTAGGACAGGAGGACGACTGTTCGAAACGAGAGTGATGTGAAACTGAACAATAACCTGGAATCCTGTGCGCTTACAAAGGTTAGCACTCAGGTCCGCTAACGTATGTAGTGCCAAGTTATTTCGCTGAATCGTACGAGATGACTGATCGTAGAACAAAAGTTTCCAAATCAGCTGTCGGAAAGCTACAAAAACGATAATAAGCCAATTCTGCTGATTAGCCCACTGGCAATAAGAAGCAGGCGCTGACTCATGCTACGTAAATCGCGTCCACAGTATTAAAAGTTTAACCAGCTGATTGGAACTAGCATGGGAATACATATGCATCCATCCAGCAAAAACGTTTGGGCATCCTTAATGGGTTTTTCTCAGAGGTACCTGCGTTTCCAATAAACGAAAACTCGCTAGCAACTACAACTTACGGATTCCGTTGACTATGTTGGCTTCCTCACCGTCCCAAACGTCTTGAATGCTTGAAAGATCAATGGGAGCAATAGATTGATAGGTATTCCATGTTTTCAAATAGTTCAAAAAAGTATGCACGTATAGAAACTACTCACAAGTTTGCTGAAATTGCTCGGACAGCCCAAGACAGGTTTTCGTGAAAGAAGCTTGTTGTATCTGTGCGGTGGCCGAGCTATTGGGTTACGCCGGCACTGAGCCTGCCAGACTACGCGGTAGGGAGAAGACAGATAACTGGGGACACGGTTGTATTGCCGGGACAAAACATACAGAGCCTCTGCGCAAATATATAGGATGACTAATAGGCCAAATATGGTCGTTCACTTGTTCGCTCCGTACAGCCGATGGTGGTGTTCCAGCCGTGAACATTCTCAGGCCCATTACGCTGGTCGTGTGTTGCTAAGCCGTTTGGTGAGAGCCGTGTTTCGTGGGAGCCGCCAACTCACCTACTTTCTGGACGTGTTGAGCCGATGGTGACCTTGGGGATGCGTCACTCTCTACACATGTGCTTTTTCTTCTGTCTGGGCGCGCCCTGACAAAGCTCCTTGCCATATGTTGAAGAATACATTAGTTCACCGAATGCAGTGCCTTGGAGACTATTCCTTTACTGCAATTGTATTCCATTGAGTTTCGTTTTGTCTAACTATTCAAACGAGTAGTTTATAGACTCAAAACACTACATATAAGGTTGCTGAAAATCCATCCACAGCCCACTTCCGGTTCTGCCTTTCTGAGAGCCCATCAGGTGGGCGTAATCCCTAAGATTTCGTAAAAATTTATGTTCCACTTGAACTCAGATTGTACAAAATTAGCGGAATACACTCATTTGCATCCCATTTCGGTTTGGACAGGAGACACACCTGGAACCCAGCCCACTCTCTCATTTATGATGCGCGATAGACACGAACTATTTTACTGAAATCACTTTTTCCATCGCCTTTTAATCGTCTCAAGTTTTCTGGCAAAGCTGCACAGGCCAACAGAGCAAGGCACACCACACGATGCTATAGATGAGAATGTCGGTAGCTCAGGTAGCGTGGATTGTCGTTGGTTTTTTCGCTGAGCTGGGCAATTTGGTTGCAAACGTTTCATCACCAATCGAGGTGACATCATCAGTGCGTAGTTTTGAGTGGCGGTAGGTTGGTGGTTGTGCGTTCAGTAGTGTTACGTGTGTGTTGATATACGTGCTTCTGGAAGAGAATTTCCGGAAGCATGGTACTCTACGGCAGGTTCAATCAACCGGTGCATCGAACTGGATCCAATTTATGCACCTCTACGTGCAAAAGACCAACTTCGCAACCGGAACAGTCAAAGAGGACCGGATTCACAAACAAAGAAACAAGGAACTCCTCGGAGTCAAGTCAATAAATGTCACAAGCCGGAACTCGGGAGGACAAATATCACTCCAACGTCGACCAGACTACGACGGCGAGGGATGCCAAGCTCAAAGGTCACGTGGACATCGGCGAATGAAGACACGGGATAAAAGAACAACCAATGGAACCGCCCGACCGAATAGCTAATCGTGGTCAAAGATCATCCCCGGCTACCAGCACGTATATCAACACACACGTAACACTACTCAACACACAAACTCCAACCTTCCACCACTACGCTCCGGATATCTGAAAGACCCGATTAGTGATCCAAACGTTTGTAACCAAATTGCCCGGCTCAGCGAACAAGTCAACGACCGCAGGATGCCATAAGAGAGTGGAGCAGAGCAAAGCAGAAATGTGTCCACTGAAGCCAAATCAAGTGTGCAGTTCGTGTCACGTAAACAGCACAACTGTATGCGCCATTCTTGCTAGCAAAGGGAACCAGGACTAGATTCCCTGGTTTTAAGTAGACCTATCGACAACGCTTTCAGTAGTGTGTACAGTGAAGCAAAAGATGTCTCTCTGTTATCTGGAACACTGACGATCAATTCCGTCTCCTGGCTTAGTTGGGGTTCACATCCCGGAGCTGCGTTTGCCTAAGAGATTAGGACTTGTCAGCATGTAACATTTGTTTCTCCTGACGGAAAGAACGTTTTTTACACGGTGGTGATCTCTCATGACGAAGTTCTAATTTAATCTGATCCTGAAATTCGCTTGGGTGGATAAGGAGGCCTTTTTGTTATGCCAATTCAATGGTCCTGCTCAGGGGGCGTCATTTTCTAATGTGTGTACTCATGACACGTTGCTTCAATCAACTAATGTATGATGCCCGTGATTCATTCTCATGAGTCTAGTTGAAAGTGACGCACTTTCAGTCCTTCAAAAGGACGAATAGAGAGGGCCAATTTGGGAACTAGAAGATGAGAAAAATGTAAGCTATCAACGCGCCATGTCAGGAATGGCATTCAGTTCGCCACGTGACTGAAGAAAAGTCCCTTCGAGAGAAAAGCTGGCTATGATTTAATGAGATCGTTGAACAAGTAATTGAGCAAGCGATTTCGAAGTAGGCTGTTTGTCGCGCGGGTTTTGAGTTTAAAAAAATCCGAATTCGACTGTCGCAAGATGTTATCCTACTGATCTTTGAAGGATACTACGGCAGACCGTTGCTTACCAATGCTATTGGTTGCGTAGTTGACCGAGCAGCTTTCAATTGGACAGGATATAGCGCCACTCAACCTTCATTCACATAAACCACATCACGTGGTCACGTATTGACCGCCCCCTCATGTGACGACAACTCAGATGGAGGCTTCCATCTTAGTTAACTTTTATCCTTTCTCTAAACTACTTATAGATTGTTGGAGTAGGTTTGATAGTTTTCAATTAACATTTCGTACTACAAGTGAATGAAACTCTTTGGAGTTTTGTGAACTGTGCATTGCGGATGATTTCGGCTAAACTAAACCAACTTCGGCGGGCTTTTAGGCTTTTCAGCACAGGGTGACATCACTTGTAATTCTCTGGAAATATTTGAGGTTTTGATCGTTTTCCACAGATTGGTTTAGAACGACCAAGAATTATTGAGGGACCTCAAAAGAAACGCAATGATTATGGTATCTTAGCTTAGAATTTAGGATACCTCATTACCGTACGACACCCAAAATAACTTTGGAAGTTCCAGTTTCATCGCCAAAATTTACCCTTTCCGATGGGTGATGAATTGGCTCTGTTCGTAATGTACTAATCATAAGGTTGCTGACATCGACAGCACACGACCGGTTTCGCCCTTCTTGGGGCTCATCAGGTAGACGCAGTCCCCGGGTTTCCGTCAACCTTATGTTATGTTTGGAACCAAATTGCATAAAATTAGCGAGAGGCTCACCTGGAACCAAGTTGAGTCTCTCGTTTGTGATGTTTCTAGGCAACTGAACGTGCTGCACCAGGCCGCCTCATATTTCAGTTTCTACGCTATTCGAGGTATCCAGATACATGTATATTCGTAATGCACTACTCGTAAGGTTTCTGAAACATGAGGAGGCCTGTTACAGGTGCCTGAAATTATCAAAACCGAGAGATCCAGCTGGGTTCTAGGCGAGTCTCTCGCAAAACCAAATTCGTTTGCAACTGTCTTTGTTATTCAAATTTGATATTTGCAATCAGAAACTCACGGAGAATGTACGTAACTTAAAGTTGCGGAGAAGGTCAAGGTAGAATGGACAAACGTTAGAGTCTAACCGTTTACTGAATCCTCCAATAAAATTCCCGAATCCCCTCACACCAGGGGGAGGGGAGGAAGCGATTCATCCGGTGAATGAATCTCCCATATGAACAGTAGTTACTCAAGGAGTCAAGCAACACCGGAATATAAAACCGTTCAGCTGTAGCACCCTTTCGGTGCTTAGCTGCCATTCCACCAAAGGAGGTCCGAGTGCTGGGATACTGCCAGGTCGCCCAGGGGAAGTCGAGTGGCAAAGGTCGGGTTCGAACCACGGACCTTCCGGTCAGTAAATTGGCGCTCTAACCACTTGAGCCATCTTGACCCCGCAACACCTGACCACGTGATATCGACCACGTGATTGGGGGCTGGGATGCGCTTTATTCCGTCTAAGTGCAAGTAAATCACAATGCTGGTCAGACGCATGCCATCAACTGCCCGCCGGAAGGTTAGGGGTTCGAGGTTCTGTGGAGTTTCGTGAAAAAACCCAACCCAGATGAGTCTCCATGGAACATCTCTCAGATTTTCTGTAATTTGTGACAACATTGACTTTACTAGCGAAAATGCGCAAGGCCCTAATCACACGAGGATTATCCTTCCTAAATAGATCGATCAGACGGGGGGCAAAGAAATGATTTTATCATATTTTGTTTGTTTTCCATGAAGGGGACGCTTCCAACTGCCAGTTTTGTAGTGCGACCGATTTCATCCTGACGGTTTTGACACAAAATCTTCGAGAGAACGAGTTTTCAAGCCAGATGGGGAACCAACCACCGTGACAATTTGCCATCATCCGTAAAAATCTACCATTGTTTTCTCTTCTTTCGTTAATAATAATACACTGTTTGGATTAGTATGTGCTATAAACATCGTCCAGAATAGGTGAAATATCGTTTTACTTGGGTCTCGCATTTTCCACCATCCGCTTTGTGGAACCCCCTGGCCACAAACAGCATATCAAGACGGCTACTCGTTCTTCGCCTATACTCAGATTCTGCGAACCGTGTTCTTGGCATACCTGAATGTTTGGCCGTTTTCATTCGGTTGCCCACCAGTTCCTGAAACTTTCAGCGTCTTCGAGCATTCCATGGCGACCTGGTACTTATCTGCTTGTGGTATCGGTTTACTTCAATTTGTTACCCGAGTTTTTCTCTGATGGAAGAGTTTGCTACCACATCAGCAGGTAAAATAAGGGCAAAACTCTTGCATTGGTGCAATCTTTGAGTGCAATTTTGTCCTTCTCATTGAAAATCTGAACAGCTCTTAATTAATTTATTTTTATGTCCATTAATAACATTGACGAATAGTCATATATACATTTTTTGAGCATTCTCTACGGCTTGATTGAGAGAAAAATCTTGCAAAACAAACTATCGATTTTCTCTTCCGAAAAGAGCGAAAGTTTTGACCAAACATGAATTAAATTCATCTATCATCGAATCAATTATTCAGGATTTTAAGACACAATCTCTGGGCTATTTTTGATAGTATTATGTAAACTTTACGCACTCAGAACATGGGCGCTCAAGAACGGAAAAAATTGGAGCAGTGCTGGTTGGACGAGACAATAATTTGACAAGTGATTGATCGATAAATAGGCAGATCATTAGAGTACATACCTTTCGCCTTTACATTCCACAATTTTCCCCGCGTCGTTCACATTATACGCACCGGTATGCATGCGCATGTGCATTGGGCTTGAGGTGTTTTTCTGAAAGTACACATGGTTGTACCCTTTAACCAAACTGCAGATCGTGGAAGACAGATAAGTTCAAGTCAAACTTGGAGTCCAAGAAGGACAAACATCCCAGATTAAACCGATAATTGTCAATTTGGAATACATGGGAAACTCAGGCTGAGAATGGATGTTTTATCGAAGAAATCAAATGTCTGGTTCAGGCTGGTGCCTTCAAAAGGGGACAAGTGATGGTGCCAGTTGTCATCATTTATTACTTTTCTACTCAGAGGCATATGATTGTTTTCAAACGTTCATCACCAGCTGCGTTGATATTGTCAGTGCTGAGTTGATTGGTCCTCGAGCAGTGTCCGATAGCTCTAACGTGATTGGCTGATGGCCTTCGCATAATTCGATTGGTCAACATGGAATTAGGGTTGTGTTATGCTCTCCTATCCTGGCGAAGTGGTTTCAACCTTACCAATTAGATTGAAGGCAACTCGGGACTTATGTTAGGCCTAGGTTGCCAGAGGTCAAATTAATCAACCCATCCTCGAACTGATTACGTCACCTCAATCAGTGAAGAAAAGTCCAAAATCTGACAACGAAGCTCGGAGAGGGGGCTAACAACCAATCAGCAATCTCAAGCCACCTGTATTTTTCAACATTTCCAGCAGGCAGTGTTGTGGCACACCACGTGTAAATATCAAATGAATAAGTACGATATGGAACCCGATTTGTCGAAAGCCCAGCTTGCGAAATGACGGCTGACTAGCGAAGAACTGATAGTCTGCCTCCACATCAAGATTCATGTGGCTCCATGTCAAAAACGTACTTTATTTTTTCCCTCTAAATCCGTGTCTTACGACGTAGCTTATTGCAATTAGTGAAAACATAGTCTACTTATATTCGCTCAAGTAGTTTTGGCGACTTGTGCAAAATTCTCGAATGAGGGATATCTTGACGTGTTGGGAGCATGCTTAAGTTTCTTGTAGTTCCTTTTAGTGATTACACTGCAGCACGACTAAATGTAGACAGGTAATCTAACAGTCTGTTACGCCCTCACTTAACCCAAAATTACAAATCCACTAGAAATGGTCAGTGCGCGGCCGGGAGCTAATTACGACAGGTCTGATAGCATTTACACGGCCTTTAAGATGAACGCCATATCTATACTTTTATTGGCTGGCAAAAGATTTGCTTCCACGTAGGTTGACTGATCGAATCAGAAGCCGTGCTGCATCTTACTCTGAGTTACTTTCATTTGATTGGTTCTTTAAACCATTAGTGGAGCCCAGAGTTGGTTGGATGGTGTTCAGGCAACGCTCACATCAACCAATCACATTCCAGGCGGCAAATAATCTTTGGATACCGTATAAGCAAAGGCCAACCACCCAGGCACGCACTGATGACGTACGTTCGTTCGGTGACGAGGCGTTTGCAAATTAATTGCCAATTTTGACGAGAATCTCAAGCATCACATTATCACCAGCGAGTTAAACAATTACACATTCGCCTGTTCGGACGTGAAAATTCAGATGCGTCCAGCAAGCGTTGGTGAAGTAATTGAGACACGCTGGTCTCACCTGTCGGAGGTGTGGAGTTCAAACCCTGGCCCGGCCGTTTGATATTCACTGCCGATGAAGACTAATAAGAGCGAAACTCGTGTCCAGCGCTTCCATTTGGAGTGGACTCACCAGAGTAATTACGCTAAAACAGCAAGATGACTGTCCGACCTACAGTAGCGTGAATATGAATAAACGATTATAGTTACCAGTTAGAGCGCGAATTCACCGACGGGAATGTCCGTGGTTCAAACCCGACCTCCGTCTGTCGACTCCCCCTGCCCAGGCTAAGGTAGCCTGGCACTATTCCAGCCCTCGTGCTTCCTTCGGCAGCTAGGTACCGAAAGGATGTTCCAGAAGTTCCATTTTTTAAAACGATCGTGGTCACGTGGTGCTCGATTAGCACCTGCGGCAGATGCAGACTTACAAACGATGATATTACACGGTACAGTGTATGAATATATACACAGCATGAAGGAACATACCCCGGTGAATATTCCCACCTTCATTTTGTCCGATAATGCTCGCGGCAGTTTACTCTCCCAGATCGCTGAATATGCGTTCAGGGTGATGAACGGTTTCTGATTCGAAAGGGCGAAACGTACACCTTGGCCGTACACCGACTAAATAGTGTAAGAAGGTAGGACAGTGTGAAGAGGAAACATGAAGACAAAACCCTTTTTAAAAGAGTCACAAGTAATCACATTATTCAACCTGGCCATATGAATCCATTTTTACATGTGAGGATGGTTCATCATTCGAGAAATACTCATTCGCAAATTAATTTGGTTTTCATCAGAGACTCAACTGAATCTCTCGTTTATGATATTCTACGGCTGAATGTGCTGCACATGGGCACAATATTCGAGATATCGCAGGGCAAAACTGGTTAAGGGCTGTCGAAGAGATTTCAGCAACCTTGTGAGTAGTTTCCCCTATGAAAATGGTTCATCATACTTTATTGAAGCCGTTCCTAATAGTATTTCTGCTCACAAGGTCCGATCGATTTTCATTACCAAATCACTAGCCACTGATCACCGAGTAGAAACCGAAACCTCACATGTTCACGCCAAGTGTAGTCACGTGATCAAAATGCCAGAATGGTGCGCACGTGCAACGAGCCACTGGAAAGAAACATATTCAATAATAAAGCACGAAACTGTGCTGACTGTTCAACAAACCGCTCCACTTTCGTGTCCATACCACGGACACCACGCAATTGGCATACTATCGATTTTTTGTGTTTAAATGCAGTTGTCGCATCGGTGGACATGTAATTTGTTCAATAATTTGATCTGTTGGCACTAGGAGATGTTATTACTCACAAAACTAACGTCCTCTGCGAACTCGCATTGTTTTGCTTATATCTCAGGGCAACTATCCTCGTTAGTTCACATCACTAATGTAGCACTGAATGTACCAGGATTTGAGGCATATGTCTAATCAAGTGTGCAACAATTTGATTCAGCGAGACTCATCAACCAGATGCAACAATTGGTTCCCACTAGAACTTATTGAAGTCGACAAAGATGAGGAGGGGGAACGCACAAAATAGATGAAATTTCCCCGACGGGTACTCACAAGAATAGCGTTGTCTGAATTGGGCTGATCTTTCCTTCGGATATGAGCTTCAAAAGTCAGATGGATCTTTTGGATACGTATTATAGTGGAGAGATTTTGACGTTCTATCCTACCAAGGTGTTAGGCCGAACTCCATACGGATACCTCTTCACCGCTCAGATGCTGTTACGACCGAGAAGTCTATCACACGCCAGATTGGCCAAGAATTCAGGACGCTTGCCGATCCGGCATCAAGCCGAGATATGATTGGTCGAAAGTCGAAAGCCAATCATGACCCAGTAGTGGCCGAATGCCGGTTGCCAATGGGGCTTTCAGAACGCGTCAGAATTTACCGAAAGTTGTTGCCGCCTCGACCTTAAGCTGCTCTCGACCTAAAGCTGCCACCCTGACGTGGTGGTCGGGCTTCAGTGCTGCAATGATCCCGCGGGCTACACTGGCTGGAAATTCGTTCCACAAGGTTCAACCATGCCAGGAAGGCCAAAGGGGAGCAGTCAGACCAAGAGCAGCGAGATCGCACACTACGAGCAATAGTGGTACGGGGCGGTCTGGGGGTAAAGTCGTACTGTCCTCTGTGACAGGAGTGTGAAGGCAGTAAGATGTTTCTCCCAAGCGACCAGCATGTCCATATTTATGGAAGCAGCGATGCTGCCTTCCCACGAGGAAGGACGGGTTAGAAAAGGTCGGCCCCAAAAACCGCACACTCCGATCGCCCAACGGTTGACCGTGACCGCCGGCGCATTATCCGATACGGTCGAAATACTTTTAAAACTAAAGAGCCCGGTGCTGCTCAAAAGGCACCTGCTGTGCGCAGCCGCATCAGGAATGAGACAGTAATGCCTTATTCCCTGCGCCCTCGGGTTAGGCCAACCCCCTGCAGCCGAGCAGGTCAGACTATTGAGTCATCGGCTCCGGGCAGGGTCCCCAAAGAAAACCCTATATTCTCCCACTGCCTCGTGGGTCAGACTTTTGAGTCAGAAGCTAGGGTCAGGGTCCCCGAACAAAACCCTACGTC